AGGCTGTTCTTGCTTTGGGAACTGTCTGCATGTCATTAGAAGGGTGCTTTGGTGCAGTGCATTTACTTGCAAGGTGACCCTTCTGTGCTGCGAGCTGATAGTACTGTCACATCTAGCAGTAGCACTCTGAAACTGGGGCAGACTCGACTGTCCTACGAATTGCTGTGTCGACTGCGGTAATTGGATCAGACGCGCATTGTCGTGTGTTCTACTCACTTCTCTTACGATGTTGAGAAATTCGTCAACCGTATGGGATGTGAATACGTGGTCGTCGCAAATGCCTTGAACTAGGTATTCGTTGCGTTCCTTGTTAGTAATGGGAACTGGGCAGCGGGACACAATCTTCAGTTTTGCAAAAACATACTGCTGGAGGCCCTCTCCAGCTTTCTATGTGAGACTGTGACCTTCTGTTGTCACTGCATGATCGAAAGTTGCTCGCCGAATTATTCTTGGAGTTCTGCTTTCCAAGTGGTCCATGTGGTTAGCTGACACCCTGTTGAGACATGCCGGTCTGCTGCGACTCCACGAAGCTTCCCTGGCGTGATGGCGGAAAGAGTCGTGTCTTCCTATCATGTGAGCCATTGAGTGCGCTAGCGCTCTTTTATCCAGTGCTTGAAAGTCGGGGTGTCACTTCCGTTAAAGGTAGCCAGCGAAGCCGATAGATCTTACATCTTTGTCACATCCACTTGGTTCGTTAGAGCTGTCATTGTTGTCATTACCACGGTAATATTCTGGTGAAGAAAGGCCGTTATACGTTGCATGTTCTGTGCCGGATCTCACATGAAGGTGGTCGTGGCTGAGAATGACACCGTAGGCGTTGACGCCACCACTAGCGACGTTGAAATGTCGGACGCGCTCGGCGTGGGTTCGTGGGCTGGTAATGGATCTTTCGCGATATCAACTAAAAGTCCGATGATGAGTTCCTCCTTGTTGCCGGTGGTGGAGAGGCTGTAGCGTTGCGATTCAGTTCGAATTATTTGTACACTCAAGGCAGCAAAGTCTTCGGCAGTGGCAACACACCAGTTGATGTGTTGCCACTGCCGGGTACTCCGGTTTAGATTACTCGATATTGTTACACCTGAACATTTTATTTCATTGACGGTAGACAGGCGGGTAGAACATAGAGTGTAATTGGAATAGAAGACCCGCTAACTTTTGTTAGTGACGCGCAAAGCAACTGTTTTAGTTTGATTTTTTTCAATTTAGAAATTTTTTTCAATTTAGAATATATATATATATATATATATATATATATATATATATATATATATATATATATATATATATATATATATATATATATATATATATATACAGCTGGTCAGCTAGACACATAGAATAGATACCAAGAGATGGGACGCTTCGCCCAGAACGGCAGAGCGTCAGGTGAAGTAATAACATTGCGAAACTTGGTGGTATCAAATAGAGGAAGACCATAGGCGTATGGTGTATAAGCTGGAGGGGGGGATGGGGGGAACGAGCCCACGCTGAGAAAAGTTGGGGCGGTTGAACCACTTCTCATTTTTGAGTGATCACTATCAGCTGCACTCTGCAGAAACCAACAACTGCGGCAAACTTTTCCTTTACCCCAGTAATCACTCAATTATATTGTTCCGAGGAAATGAAAATGTTACCAAGCAATGTTTTAGTATAGTAAAATTTTTCCTAAATTGCGGCTTTGATGATTGTCTCTGAATGTTCCTTGTGGTGCGGGTTGCCTATGCGACTCTTTCGTGCCTTGTACTGTAGCATTTCAAAGTTGGCTACAGTACAAGGCGCGAAAGCATCTTGTACTTGCTTTGTTATAGAAAGAACGAGCAATTGCTTTATGGACCAGTCAGAGCATTTTCTGCTTCAGGAAAATTGTTTTCTTTTATCAAAATTGAAGACCATCATCGCCGCTTTGTCGAAGCTGCTCTGAGCCGATGATTGGGACGAATCTTTTTAAATGCATTAGTTCTGCCGTACTAGAAGCGCCGCAAAAACATTTGTGCTTTAGTCTCTGTTAAATCTGATCACCCTTGCTTACCGTAACTAGGAGCAATGGTAGCAGTTTGCAAAGTGGTGAAGGATAAAGCAGTGGACTCGAGTACTGTGGGAAGCTCAGCTTCTAAGCTTACCCCACCGCTTGACCCACGGGACCAGAGAGAAGATGAAAGATTGTGGTTTTTTGCACGATGAAGGCCTTGATTGATATGTGGGGTTTAACGTCCCAAAACCACTATATGATTATGAGAGACGCCGTAGTGGAGGGCTCCGGAAATTTAGACCACCTGGGGTTCTTTAACGTGCACCCAAATCTGAGTACACGGGCCTACAACATTTCCGCCTCCATCGGAAATGCAGCCGCCGCAGCCGGGAATCGAACCCGCGACCTGCGGGTCAGCAGCCGAGTACCTTAGCCACTAGACCACCGCGGCGGGGCCGCACGATGAAGGCCTAATGAGGAGTTGAGCTAGTTAGTTTTCATTCATCTTGATATGTCATTTACAGCTCGAAATACTACTCTGACAGAAAAGAAGCAAACACACGCTGCGCTGCTTTGTCTCTCTCTCTGGGCGAAGATCAGCTAAAAAAATGTACACGCGCATGTACACTCAGAAAAGTTTGCCGGCGTAATTGCGCATTTACCATAAAAGGGGCTGCTTGCTCCTCTAAAAGACAAAATGTACGCAAAATGTTGCTCAAGGCACCGTGAAGAGGAGCACTTTCCACCTTGTCCATAAAGAACCCGTGCTTTGGGGTAACTGCAGGAAAGTTAGCGCCAGTGTGTACACAAGCCTGTTTCATTTCAGACAGATCTGTATAGCCGCTGTGGTGTAGTTATTAGTGTACGGGCGTGCTGACAGAATTATCGTGAGTTGATTGATTGATATGTAGAGTTTAACGTGCCAAAACCACCGTATAAATATGAGAGACGCTGTAGAGAAATGCTCCGGAAATTTTGACCACCTGGTGTTCTTTTGCCTGCACCGAAACTTGAGCACACAGGCCTGCAGCATTTTCGTCTCTATCGAAAAGCTCCATTAAAGAGATTATATGTAATATATGTATATATATCCCTCCTGGCGAGTGAGGCCGGTTGTTTGCCCCCCCCCCCCCCCCCCCCACTCGCGAAAAAGTTGGTACGCCACTGAGTGAGACTGTGCAGGAGATGGCAAATGCGAGATCATTGGGACACCCGTTCAGCAGTGCACTTATATAGGCTGATGATGGTGACTACAGTTTCTGAACTAAGCACATTTCCTAAAGTGAAGGGCTATGATTTGGATGTTGCAATGAGGCTAATTACTTTTTCAGCTCATTTCTTTCTCCGGTTGGTCACTGTTTACTAAGCTCTTTTTCCTTAGCGACAATCATTCAATCAGAAGCAATTCATAAGTGCGTATAGAGTGATTACACGTGGCAACTACATCGAAAGTATCTCTCCTGAACATAGTACTGGCAACAACAGCAGCAGCTTTCCCCGCCACAGCAGTATTTTTTTGCCTGCTGTTAGGGTGAATTACGGCAAGTTTACTACCTCGTTCTCCAGCATGTAAATTTGAACTTTATTGTGTTTCGGAATAATGTCATCACAAGACCTCCTCAAATTACCCCGTGCTGCATGAAATATTTAGTTCCGATATCAACCGACTGGTCAAAATGTTCCAAATAACTGTCAATATTTTTATCATTTTGGTGCATCTACTTTGTTTTTAAATAAGTAATCAATACTATCAATAAAACGAGTATGTCACAAATTCTGGTGTTATCCTTCGCTACAACGTTTCTCCTGGTTTGTTTGTTCACAAGCTTACGAATATTTTTCATTCTCTTCAATGATTACCATAACCATGAACTTAAGCATCCCACTTCTTGTTATAGGCAATTGACTTTTTTTGTGGTTCACGTATTCGTACATATATTGTTCTTTGTGAATATTTCTGCTGCCTATAGACTAAAGCGTCTATCTGTAGCTTTTTGTTTGTTTTTGTCTAAAATTTCATTGAACGTCTTGTTGCAATATCCTAACATGCAACACCATCAACAACGCAATACATTAAAACTTGGCTTTGTTAGTATTGCTCGATAAATAGCTTTATGGGCTTTTTGCCTCTTTTAATTTTTAAGCTCTTCAATTTCGGTAAGGGTAGAGAAAAGTATGCGCGAAGTATCTTCACTGTCATGTCTGTCTTGCCCACAGATGTGTCTAGCTCCTATTGTTGCTTAGAAAGCAGTTGGTCTAATTTCTTCAACTCTGGCATTCAAAAATCCAAAGCAGCAGTCAAGTTTCCAGTAATCCTCGCTTCGCAGTATGTTAGGCCTAAATTTTTGTGCCAGTGCCTTGCCATATCTGTAGGTTTATGAGCGTGTGCATTAGCGTGTGCTTGACCATGACATTGAATAGTCGAGTAAGAATACACCTAGTTTTTATGATTTCAACAGATGTGAATATTTTATTCCACGTGTCATCATTGCATTGAGGAGCAGATGAATGAAAAGGTGAGAAACCTATGAAGATTTATTCCTGAATCATTCATTATCCATGCACAAATTTGCGCGAAGCCTTCATGAGTTCAGAAGCAACGTGGTTATTGGTACTGATGCAAAGCAACCAAAACTCAAATAATATATAACATTTGGACAATAATTCATCTGCGGTTGGTCTCTTTCCTTTTGTCTCAATACAAAAAAACTTGGTAAACCCGTATATTTTTAGCGCCAAATGCACGTCATCATAACCGGAAAAACTCGCTTGGGAAGCCAGTAACAAGGCATTTCTTTACATCGAATGATGGCCTTGTCAATGCAGCTCTTTAAAGTAAACTATCCAGTTAATTTTTATATTGCTAATATAGCTCATGCGTGAGCGTCTAAGAAAAAAGTTACGACATCCACAATCTGCAGTCGGGAAACAGTTCACTCACGCAAGTCAGCAACATGACAATCTTCCCAATTCACAAATTATGCTCCATCCGCGGTATTCGGTGTAGGCATGCAACTAAAAAAAAACTCACTGTGGCGTCTCTGCAGGAAACACGACAAACGGGGTCATCTTGGATCCTGATATAGTCCACGTAGCGAATGCACAGCCCATGAGAGAAAGCAGGGCAAACGCTCCAAGTGCCAGCTTTTTTCGGCTGCGCAGTTGTCAAACGCAACATACTTCAAGTCAACGGAAGTAGTGAGAAAACAACTGAGCCCACAAACAAACTAGGAATGTTCTGAGAATTCTCACTGGTGTTCTGTCTATGAGCTATTGGGAAGTTAAGCAGTTTTTCTTTGGCTTACAGATTAAATGTCAAAATCCCAACAAAAACTATATTCAGGATTAAGGCAGTTGATTCGTATATTTTCAATACACGTTTAAGCTGTGTGAAAGCAGTTTACACATGTCTTCAAGATATCTGGAGTAAAGCCAGATTTCGCGAATACAATCTGAGGCAACTGAAAAGGACAAGGCAATAAGCAGAAATCAAAACAAAAAATTGATTCACACTCTTCACTGATACCATAAATGGCCAGCACAGCAATACAATACCATGGCGTTTGGCATCCTGAAATCATCATATTCTTTTCACCAACATTGGACCACATTGTTGGCAATACTTTCATTTAAAAACATTGATTACTGCTTTGTGACTATCATAAAAAGCGCCAAGGTGGAACACTGATATGTTCCACCTTGACGCTTTCATCAATATCCGGGGATAACGTTATAAATCAGCGCATGCAAGTTTTTTGCGGTTCACATACGCTGAGAACGACACTTTGTTACGTCTGGACAGTGGACGCTGCTAGACAAGTGGGTCGATCCTTGAAATAGCACACTTTATTCGTCAGAGACTGAACAACACGTGCGCCAAGTTCCAAACGTCGAAAACGAGGTTGTCCTAAAGCACCCTTGAGGTGCCGTTTGCTTATTTACAGCATGATTCGTTAACAAACAGTCGTCATGATTACTTTTTTTTTCAATATAGAGTCGCGCACTCTCTTGAGCTCTGTTTCTTTACTTATGTCCACATACTCAGGCATGGATAGCGCCAGTTTTGCTTTAGCAAAAACATGACAATTTTATTTCCATTTTTCATAAATAAAGTTGATTCTTCCTCCTGATCCTCCGGGAGAAAAGAAAAACTTTCTTCGTGCTAACAGACGACGAAGTACATGAAAACTACAAACATCGCACTACGGACATTGTTATTGTAAAACAAAGCATGCTTGAGTCCCATTCCTATTTACGTAATGCGAAGGCTGCAAGCTTTGGTACAGAATCGTCCTTAATCAAGGGAGGACGAGGGTCTTAAGAACTTTTTAATAATTATCCTACTCTGATAAATATTACCGCACATGTGTATCACTGGGTGGATATTTCAAATCTGCAAACAGATATCAAATATCTGATTTTAAAAAAAGCGATGACAAATATCCACATTTAGTTAGGTAACTTGCTATGGGTCTTTACGGGTCTTAGCGATTGAATACCGGCTGTGGCGGCTGCATTTCCGATGGAGGCGGAAATGTTGTAGGTCCGTGTGCTCAGATTTGGGTGTACGTTAAAGAAACCCAGGTGGTCGAAATTTCCGGAGCCCTCCACTACGGCGTCTCTCATAATCATATGGGGGTTTTCGGATGGTGAACCCTAGAAATCGTTATGGTAACTTGCAATCAAAAAAGTTAGTTTCCAAAACTACATGTTTCATGTAAAAGGTTTATCCCAGAGGCTCAAGCAAACTAGATGTCAAAACGGCTATGTCTTTGATCAGAAATAATTTTTAAATTTGGAAACTAAAGGTAAGTTCCAGTAATAAGCTGGTACACATTATATAATTACAATTGTGTCAAGGTTTAGAGAAAAAGAAAAGCTTTACTCGGTAGTTCAAGTTCTGCGGGAAAGAATTGTACCAAGTTTTTAGGGGCCAAGCTCCTTAAATCAGCACCCGTTCGTCTCTCGTCGTAGTCGTAGTGCGTAACCAGTCGTACGTTTTGACCTGCAAGGTGGTGCCGGTGAGAGATTTCTCCTGTGCGTAGTTGAACAATAAAAACTTCACAAAACTTCAATAAATCTTTCTTCACAGAAAGATTAAGCGAGCGTTGGGCCGCAGTGCCATGAATACAGTGAACTAGTATATACCATGAACTCGAGGTGGTTAAAGGTGGGAAGTAGACACGAAGCGCAAGCCGTAAGAAAGTGTGCGTTTGCCACTTCTCGTTTAGTCCTTGGAATGTCTGCTGAATTGTGGTGCTTTTATATGCGGAATATATGCTAAACATGCGAGATGCTGGTACTTAGAGTTTTGTCTAGATGAACGAACGAACACACAGACAGATTCATGGACGGGCGCACGTATGGCTGCATGGACGGATTGACACATGGACGGACGCAGGGGCGGATGCATGAACGAATGGAGGGACGGACGCACGGATGGACGTGCGGACGCACGAACAGACACACGCACGGACAGGTGGACGGACGGTCACACAGACGAACGCATGGACGGACAGAAGCAAGAACGAATGGACGGGCGCACGCTTCGCCCCTCTCTCCATCATTCACCCCGTGGATTTAAAGCCATTTTTTAAATATCTTCACAGAAACTTGTTCGAAACTTCTGTAAGGCAGATTCACTTCCCAAAAATAATAATGCCAGGAAAAGCACGTTTACAGTATTCAAAGCATTTGTAATTTCATTTATGAGGCTTCTAATAAATATCAATGCTATTTCGCGAAAATAAAAAAATTGTCGTAAACATACTTTTTACTCTAAATGCCCCTAATTACAATTTTCTGCATTGTAAGACAGCGTTTTTTACAATTTTGTGCTATTTAAACACCCTCGTCACCTCCTAAATAAACCTCGTGTAACGTTTCTGCGGTGCGTTGCTCACTCCCGCAAATTCTAATGCATGCGTTCGCTCCTCTCTTATCCTGTTACGTCTGGCCTCATCAAGTAGGTTAATTCAAAGGTTACGCATACCTTGTGATAGCTAGACTCACGCATATCTTCAGCAAACGCCCGATTTCCCCAATCAACGCCTCCTGTGATGTTTCATTGCTAGTCGCATGCAATGTACAACCCTCTCCTTTAAACCTTTCCTTGTCTCACCCATCGGCCAGCATTCACGCCTGCTTTGTGTTCATGGTCGAGAGTACCCTTTAGGTGGTGCCTTACAATGAATGTCAGACAAGGAATTTATATGTTCAGTTGTGTCCAGATTCATGGGACGGTGTGTTGCATCACTCATTATCACTAGGTCCAGTGTCACGTTGGCTCTCTGAAAAGCGCAATGTTCTGAGATGGTGCGTCTTCGTTCGAGGATCTTTGAGGGGTCCCAATGGGGACGTGTCAGTGCGACGCTGCTACATGCACTGGCTTTAATTGGGTCACGTGAGAGCTGTGAGGCAGCTGCAGATTAAGTTCGAGTCATAAAGAAAAAAGGTGCATTATTGCAGACTCATAAGAGCATGACGTATTGTAGACGAACGACGCGTCTACAAGGTACTTGTGTGACACAAACAGTCGTACCCTTGGATGGCGTCACACCACGACCTCTTCCATAACTAAGGCGGACCAGCGCTTCCCATTCAGGAGCGAACAGTTTTGTTGTCATTGAAAAAAAAAACTAGCAGTGGGCCCAGTAATCCTAGTTGGATACAGAATTCCTTGAAGAACTGCATTTACCCAGTGGCCCCTTGGTCAAATAGTAAGTGGCGCACAGCCAGGGTAATATGCTCAGGTTGATGCCAAAAAGCTTTTCGATGGCACAAGCACGAACCCTTCGAGTGCGCCCAGTACAAGATAACCACCACCGTAAACTGACTTGAAATTAGGAAAAATACGCCACCTAATAATTTTAACGATAAAGCAAGATATTTCTACGAGGAAGGCTGCACACTGCAAAAGTTCTGTTTAATTGAGAAAAAAATGAAAAGTAGGGCCAGGTGTCTCACTGTCCACAAAATTTTAGATAAGTATGGGCAAGATTGCCTGTGCTAATACCTTCAATTACACTGATCAGTTTCGAATTCAAAAGTGCGTATCGGAGATAATAGACGTACGATAATAAATTGTATACCTTGCGAACAAAATTATTTCTATTCACATAGGCATACAGGTGTTGTGACGTAAAAACATGGAAATAAATCACGCCTTTACCGACTCAACAAATCATTTTTTATGAAAGACTTGACGAAAAAAGTACACTTGCAATAAATAAAAGTTATGATGATGATAGCTAAGGTTCAACGTCCCAAAACCAGCATAGGATTATTAGAGACGCCGTAGTGGAGGGCTCCGAAAATTTCGTCCACCTGGGGTTTTTTAACGTGCACCCAAATTTAAGCACACAGGCCTAGAGCATTTCCGCCTCCATCGAGAATGCAGCCACCGCAGCCGGGAATTCGACCCCGGGACCTGCATGTCATCAACCGAGTACCTTAGCCACTTGACCACAATCAATAAAAAATTAGTTCTATTTAATTAAATGGCCACATCTTACAGACCACCAAGAATTATTTGTTCATAAGAGCCTCGCATATATACTTCACTGCAAGTGCAGCGTTCTAACTTTACGCTGCTTTTTTTATATAAGTAGTAAGCTATATTGAAGCTCATTTAGCTTAGAGTGTCTTTGCTCCCTAAACTTACCTTTTGAAAAGTAGCAGGGTGATAAGCGAAATGACGAAAAGCTGGAAGTCTGCTGAAAGATACCACGTGTGGCCAAGAACGGTCTGTAATTGAGATTCAGAACGAGTATTTAATGAAAGTGATTAAGTAAACCGGTTTGGAACATAAAACGAAAAGCGTCTAAAATGTGGAGAGACATAGCCCGATGGCTAAGACAAAGGCAGAGTTTTTCAGGCTCTCGAAATGAATAGAAATTTCCGTAAGAAGCTGGCCCTAGGAAAGGCACCAGTGCACATATTGTAGAAGTTCATACAATTTGTTCTCCGATAAAAGTAGCCCAATTATCCTGGCAGCAAATGTATTCAGCACGGAAATAAAACCCAACGATTTCATAAAATATTGACAAATATAGCTAAATGATGGCTATGTTGCCACGATATGCATGAATGATCCAGTAAGAGCACCCATGACTCCTGATTGACTGATGGGTGCCTGACCTGTGTGGTGGAGCCAAACAAGTGTCATTTGTGGGTGTTTCGCTGTCTGAGTGAGCATCGCACTGCGAAGGGCATCATATTGGCATATTTGATGTTTCGATGTGTTCGTGAAAGTTGTTATGGAATTTTTTTTTTTTAGCTCGCAAGCCTGTGTTGAAAATGCGGAGTCCTAGAGATGACAAGGTGTATGCCTAAGAACCATAAATTTACAGGTTCATATCAGGGCCATTTACGCGAATGATAACATAAGCGACAAGGTGAACAATAGTAACGTATGCACAAACACACATAAATACCAAAGCAGTTAGTAGAACACTGCTGTAGCCCTCAGTTCGACTCCCAAAGACAACGTAAGTGTTGGCTTCTACTTGACTTTTTTTTCCCTTTATTATCGGACGTCTCTCTCTTCGAAAGCCTGCTCTGAAGCATGGTGATTCGTGGTATCAAAAATACACATGCACATTTTTATACTTAAAAACCCTTAATTTTGTTTATACTTTTGGCGGCACTTTTCCTTACTTGTTCATTTACATTCCAGTTCATATGCAACAAAAGACACGCTGAGTACTCCAATATTTATTTTATACTTATTTCATTTATTTTATCTAACTAGTTCTGCGCAGAAAAAAAAACTAAACAGTGATTTACAGCATCAAAAAACAGATCATCACCATGAACACACACCCTGAAGCATTAAGAAGTGTTATTCAACTTCTGCTTCTAAAAAGTGCCTAATTTATATTTCATACTTGCATGGAAGAGATTCAAGAATAACCATACCAATCTCGAAATTAAACAGTTTACGAATCAGAGTCTCATCCTTGCTCATCTCTAACTGATGATGAAGCAGTAATTGCCGCGCCTGCAAGAATGTTTGAGGTCCGAAACGCCTAAATGTACAGAAACGCGTCAGCGCACAGCAAAAGAGCGAGGATTCATGACTGGTAGTCAGCCTCATGTATTAAGGCGGAGGACTTTACACAAACGTTAGTCAATTATAGCGCGAGATCTGTGTTATGGAAAGGAAATACTAAGATGCTTAATAAATGAGAGCATGCATGGCAGCTAGTCTCTTATTGTAAATAGTACCATTTTGGTCTCACTTAGGGTAGAGTTGGGTAAAATGAGACACGCAGTAAAACGCGACATTTTGACTTTGGTGACCTCTGTAGAAATAGCATGAGTACTTTTTTGTTTTATCTTATTTAAGCAATGAGTGCTGGTACTTTTTTGTTTAATGTCAAAAGTTTATCATTACTCACAGCGTTCGCTTGGGAAAAATTGAGCGCAGGTGTCGGTGTCTTAATGAGCCGTCAAAAAGAGACAAAATTCGGCTCAGACAAGGTTTGTATTAGTGCATGAATCTGCTCCGACGTCGGTACAGCGATTTTCGTATTCGTTTTGTTACTTTATACTATTAGCTACAAACCACCAAATTTTTCGTTTATTAAGTGAACGGTGCCAAAGTGAACGGGGCTCACAGAGTGAATTCCGGGTGACTCTACTGCAAAAATAGAAGGGATTGGATTATTTCACAATGTGTAGTTTTTCCACGTGCTGTGTCTAGCTTCAGCCCGCAGGTTTCCCCAAATGAAATATTTGGTTCATTATTATTGCGATAGCAATTATGTGAACACACTCGGCTGGATTATGCCACTGGCGTCGGCGTGGGCGACGCCATCACTCACTGTATATGTATACGTATCTACATATATAAAAAAGCAAAGAAAAATCCAGAAAAAGACTCCAGCGCCGAAATCGAACGTCGGACCTACACGCCTTGAATGCGAGGCGTTGACCACTCAGCCACCGAGAGGAACCTCCTTGAACGTTCAAGCGACAAGCTGTTTATATATACCATTTACCATTGTTGGCGAGTATCCGGGGGGGGGGGGGCTATCGTGTTTTCAGCACTATCAGCAAGAAGCTGCCGCAAGAAGCTGCCGCAAGAAGCTGCCGCAATAAGCGCGCCGGCTGTCATCTCTCACGCGTAGTTTGGCCTCCGGAGAGGGGGGGGGGTGAGAGGATTGGACGATCTTTTGCCAATCCTTTCTCCCGGTAGGAAAGATCATACGTCTTGGCTGGCTATTTTCTTTCACCGTAACGATTCTGAAGTAGTTACTGGACGCACAAAGGTCACTGAAATGGTTGCGCAGCCTCCATTTGCGAAAAAGGTGCGCTTTTCAGACACAGCGAAGTAACAACGGAGACGTTTATTTGCGTTCATCTGTGCCTGTGAGTATGTTCCATGCGTCATTTGTGCGTGAGAAACGCGGGGCATGCTTCTATAAGCTTGCCATTCTGCGCGTGATCTTCCAATTTGTTGCTCTCGCGTTCATCGCTTCGCCTTTGCGGCAAATATGTGACTTTTTTATTTATTTTCTCGATATAAAACATCCCTTCGAACTGTCGTAGCATGGTCATATTTATGCAACATCTACCTTGTACCCTAAGCAAAATCTCTGCATTGACATTTATAGGTACAGAGGGAAATAAAAATATAATGTTCATTGTTTTGAATTTTTTGTCGCATTTTCACCCACCCTTACCTAAAATGAGACACATATAACTGGCGGGCTCTGGAAAGCTAATCAAATGACGGCGGAAACAAAGATGTATGAGAAGCACGTGAGCACCACGCAAAGCGTGAACAAGGTAGCTCTAAATAAGGCTGGTTGAGCAAATGCACTTAAGTGTGATTTGTGCGCCTGTCAACAACAGCATATTGACAGCGCTTGGAGGGAGCCTGGAATATGCACTCACGAATGATATTCTTAAGTGTGGCCGCTGCTTATCGTGGTCACAGAAGTTGACGTGCGAGCACGCCTGCCCCTTGTGTGTGGAGAGGGGGCAAAGGGGGAGCTGATGGACATAGAAGTTTGCGTGCATGTGCTGCACGTCGCAGACACAAAGAATTTCCTGGGAAACCTTACTGTGCCTTTACAGCAGTCACTGGAAGGCGAATAGACAATATTGTTAATAATTTTATTATTATTAGTAGTAGTAGTAGTAGAAGTAGTAATTGTAGTAGTAGTTAGAGCATGCCTCTTTTACGTGGAATTATCATTATCGATCACCGCCTTAATGTCAGAACTCTCTCCTTCTTCCCGACTTGATAAAAAAACATTAGCAGACCCACTTTAGTGTGGGGTAATTTTTTACTTTTTTGACAATATGCAAATATTGCAAAAAACTTTTGATGATGACTGATCATTTCAACTGATTGATAATTTAGCCCACATTGACAGCCAGCCATAGTGTTTATATGTTGTTGACGTCAGGTACTCAAGGGTGCAAGGAACTCTCACCTGTGGGGTCAGTTCGAAGAAATTTCTTATCTGAAGAAGGAAGCGCCACCAATTTTCCGCTACGTCATCGTAAAGCTTTAGAAAAAATGATTTGGCGTCTGGTCCAGTAACAAAAAGTGGAACCACGTAGAAACACATGATGGTGAAGAAGAGTGGAACGCATGTCCTGCAAAGACAAAAGCAAGTAAGGAAGTCTGGGCTATTTCAATAAGGAAAGACTCAATTTATTGCTGTGCCAGTGCGTGGTCTTATTCTGAAGTACTGCTACTTATTTGGCTCTGAAAGTTATGCTGCTATTCAGTCACACAACGCTCAATTCATATCACAAATACGCACAAATACCGCGAAGTTATACACACACTATAAAACAACGATTTTTATTCATTTTGTTTCTTTGAGACCTACTGACCCTAGTCACACTAGCAGTGCTTTCATATAGCGCCGCGCACGGGCGACACTCACGCTGGTCAAGAATGCGCCGAAGCTTCGTTAAAACCAAGCTGCAAGTGCAGTGCTACCTCCAGAATTCGTCCCTTCGAACAGTAGCGGCGCCGATTTCACAGGACGCGGTCTATATATTCCTAGTCATTGCACGTAGCATACAACATAGAGTCCGTCGAAATAAAAAAAAAACGTAAAATTGTTCTTGTACAAATGTCAAGTCTGACCCCTCCCCCCACCCAAAGCATGCTTGAGCTTGCGTGCTGAAGGCTCGCGACATATAAATGGCACATCAGTCTGTTTTAGGGGCGAAACTTTTCTTAGTCTAACCTTGTAATGCGTCAAGCGTAAGCGGCAATATTTATTTCGCTTTGGCATACCTAGACACATTTTGACTTTTCTTTGAAGAAATAAAATGTATTATTATTATAATATTGTCAATACTATTAATATTAATATTAATATTATTATTATTATTATTATTATTATTATTATTATTATTAGTCATAATGATATATTACCATTATAATTAATACTATTATTATAAGGCAACCAGACAAATAGAAAAACAAGCAGGCAGATGGACTCACAGAAGCATGGATGAAAGCACGGATGGACGGATGGGCAGACATAAAGACAGACAGACAGACAGAAAGACAGACAGACAGACAAACAGACAGAGAGACAGACAGACAGGCAGACAGACAGACAGACAGACAGGCAGACAGACAGACAGACAGACAGACAGACAGACAGACAGGCAGGCAGGCAGGCAGGCAGGCAGACAGGCAGACAGGCAGGCAGGCAGACAGGCAGGCAGGCAGGCAGGCAGGCAGGCAGGCAGGCAGATGCTTGGCCCACTCGTCATCATTCACGCCGTGGATAGTGCGTATGCTGTGAGTTTTCATGCAGGAATCCTTACTGTTTGCCCAAGTCACATTATGAAGATACCTAAAATGCCAAGTGAAAGTCAGCACTAGATTCGTCAAGATTGGTACATCAGTTATCTGTGCTGTATCATGTGTTGCTCTATCATTAGAAACAGCACAAATATTGCCTCGTAAACTACAGTGAGCTGGTGACCACTGCAGTGCAACGTTGTGATGAAGTTCGTAAGAATTATTGCCTAGGCGCATGAAGCTCAGGACTGGTGGCACTTGTGCGCGTAGAAACTTTAAAGATTACGGTACTGCTCTTGTGTTGGAGATTACCCATGAATCTTTTTCGATGCATTATAAATAAAAAATTATCTGTAGGCAAGCAAGTTCTGAGAATGTGGGTCTAATGAAGTGATGGTAACAGCGATGATTTAGGATTCATTTGATCAGACTTCATATGAATGGTTTGTACGTTTTTTCTGTGATATTTCATGTACATACAAATAACCAGCCTGCGAAATTAACTTTTCTTCCTTATTCCCCAAAAAATGAGTCATTGACCGCAAAGAGTTTTTGTATCATTTAAAGTGTGAACAGGGCTATGAGATGCTTACCTAACTGCCCTTCTAATGAGTCCGATGATGAAAACAAGAGGTCCATTCGACTTTTGTTTCCCGAGAGTCAGGCAAAGGAAAAAACCGCTGAAACAATATTTCAAAATACAACATTAGTGAGATAAAAAGCAGTTGCACCTAACGTACCACTTCTTGCGGTTTTTTGTAAATGCATAAAGCACTCATTCTGTCTATTAGAAATAATTTTTTCCCAGACAGGCAGTCCCAACATTGGACAGAAATATTTTATCTAGTCGCGTGCAGGCAATGTACTATTTAATACCATATATCACAGAAATCTAAATGATTCATTTCATATAAAAAATACACAGATGAGAAGTTAGGCATTTTGTGAGTGGCGATCCCTGTCATATATAGCTGCATTGGCTGAACTATATTATACACCAAATCTACTTGTTTTTGTTTTTTTTAGTTTTGTCTAGTTTTTTTTTTTGGCAGGCTGCCGGAGAATTCTCGCAAGTAGTTTAATGTCCGACTAGTGTTCGTACAAGCTTGATTACCAATGATTAATGATTTGGCACTTTGAATTTGTTACACTATACCAAATTTCCTTGTCTATACACCTGAGACTCCATGGTCCATTTTGGGTCTGTCGTAGCGACTTGCAGACTGCTCAGGCATATGCCTGAACACATCATGTTTTCTTTTTATTGTTGCGAGAAGAAACGATAAACAGGGAGTCGAAGTGAACGACTGTTTACTCGGCCACAGAAGCCACTCACTTCTTCGTTCTCTTTTTCTGCCCCAAAACAACGTGGCATTACGCTCTCCCCAAAAAAAAGAAAAGATAAAAAAATCATCGCATGAATGCCGCTGCCTTTAAAAACATTAAAAGGTAGCCGAAAATGTTTGAGTCTAGTTAGAAGCACAAGGACGAGATAAAAAAAGAAGCGAGAAAGAAATGTACAAATGTCTTGAAGGCAAGTTCTGCATCAAAAAGATCGTGACTTGCTGTCAACGTGAATAGTACGGATTGACCCTGTGGACATGAACGATATTCGAGGAGCGTGGTCAACGAGAACGGTGCGATGTGTCTACTGGGACAACTTCGTAATTGACTTCCCCGAGGCGATGAATAACTTGGTAGGGTCCTAAGTACCGACTATAGTGAACTAGATAATGATCTAGTGGCACAACTGGTTAAGGGCGGCTGCTGTTCCGGCGGACCAAAACGACACAGCCGGGCGCTAGGATTTCTTGCGGCGCCACTGCGCATTTTGATGTCATGTGCGCGAGATGAGCGTGCGCCGGCAGTGTGTTCTCGGGTAGCGCGGGCAGGGCGGAAGTCAGTCAGTGTGTGTGCGTAAATATACGCGTGAGTTTGGAGCGTTGAGCCAACGCCACCACAAGAAAATTTGCCAAGGCCTGAAAGCTCTACCGCATACGACAACGGGGTGACGTTGCAAGTTGCGTCGTACGCTGTGGTGGCGCACAGCTCGACCAACGCCGTCATTCGGCGGCGCTTTCACATCGGTATTTTAGTCCCTGCAGCATCATGCTGGACTTGCATCAGAATCTTCATGAGATAGCGGGCATTCCATGCTGATTTAGCCATTGTAAGCAGCGGGAGAAAAAAGAATTTTGCAACGTTCTCTGCAACGTCGGGATATTCAGTGTTGTGATGTGTGCTCCTTGTGTTTGTGCTTCTATTCGTCGGTGAGTGATCACAATGCGAACCGCTGCGATACCACGGAAATTTTGTGCCCACATTTTTGTGTAAACCATTATTCTGGGCCGCGAGTGTACGTATTTAGACTCCCGATTGACCAAGGCGCGCGCAAAGCGTGGATACGGGCTATCCTAAGAAACAGTGTCAGCCCAACAATACATTAAAAAGTAAATATGCTGCCTTTCTATCATTTCATGTATTGCGTTACATCTAGTACCTTGTTATTACGTATAACTTTTACCCATGCGCACGTTTCGATGTACGTTAAGGCCAATACCAGAAACGGGAAGCCTAATGTCTCTTTCTTGTTGATCGCAGTTGTTAGATAAATTAACTTAGTGTGGGAGACTAAGACGATGGGGACAGCGACGGCCAGAGGGAGGTCTTGGCACACACGAAATCTTTCTTGAAGACCTTCGACGCAAAAGTTCTGGTCTTTCTCTCAGTCTGTACATTTGTCTGTTGTTCCACCCTTAACGGTATTTTAAACGGCACCAAAGGGGCCAAACGATACTCCAAACGGCCGATCTCATCCGCAGCGCCCACCAATATTGCTCAAGGTTCAGCGTTCATACTTGTGCGATTATCAATTAGGAAGCATTTATTGCGCATATCGGAGGCACCATAACAACACGTCATTATTTTGTAAGTGTGTATTTATAATGAAGAAGGCATACATAAGTAATTCTAAGGACTGTAGAGTTTATCATGCTGCATTCGCAATGCAACGCGATCCTCAAATAGGCTGCCCGTCGCTTTTCGTTCTACACCTCATCACCTCTGAGACAGGCGCGCACGCTTTCCTTCGTTTTCGAAGATTACTGCCAGATAGCGCTCGTGTCTAATGTGCCTTGATGCGCTCGTTCGCTTTGCTGCACGGATCGAGACTTTTTGACGCAGCGCCTCCAGAATACCACTCACCAATTTTCTTGTGCAGAACATCAAATAAACGTTTTGTTCACTCTCTCCAGATGCAAGACTATCGTCTTTCGACGACATTTGCAGTGATTGATTGATTGATTTGTGGGGTTTAACGTCCCAAAACCACCATATGATTATGAGAGACCCCGTAGTGAAGGGCTCCGGAAATTTCGACCACCTGGGGTTCTTTAACGTGCACTCAAATCTGAGTACACGGGCCTACAACATTTCCGCCTCCATCGGAAATGCAGCCGCCACAGCCGGGATTCGATCCCGCGACCTGCGGGTCAGCAGCCGAGTACCTTAGCCAATAGACCACCGTGGTGGGGCGACATTTGCAGTGTAACATGCAGATACGGGGCCAGTTGTTTTTATTCTACCGGTCTGTGTGCGTGCTTCTCTACCAGTGTTCTTTTGCGACGCGTACCGCGTTCTTGCGGGACGATGAGCGTCTTTTGCAGGCTGGGATATTGGATTGCCAGTTCTGACAAACTACTCTACGGCACGTGCTCCTGTGCGCTCTGCTGCATTTTCTCGCAAGGACCGTGGCGGAGTCTGCAGTTTGTGAGATATCCCGCACCATCAAACATATTTAGCTCGTGACATGTCGAAGCGGAGAGTGAATTCTCATTGCTTTGCTCCGGATTGCCGAAGCGGCTCGGGCGTTCGGAGGGGCCGTTGTTTGCATCTTCCAAGGATGATGATGATCACTGCAGAAAGTGGGAGCGCAACATCCAGGGGGCGGACAAGCCTCTGACTGAAACTTCAATGGGGTGCGATCATCAATTCGAGCCAAGATATATGCTGCACTGTTATGTGCACGTGGCAATTTACAGTGAAGTGCGCATTCCCCGAAGAAAATCATTACTGGTTCCTGACGCCATGCCAGTGCTTTTGCCAGATTGTCTACGCAGTAACGAACCTGGTAGTTTTACGTTTGCATGAACCAGAAAGCAAACGCGCGTTAGAAGAAGCCACATCCGCAGCTCTGCAGGAGTCGGCGACCACCCAACAACGCAGCTGAAGCTGACATAAAAAGTAGCAGCGGTGCCACTTCACACCATCCGCACGAAAGATGACTCCAGAGCCCGACCGGTCGCGCCACTAGAGTATATTCTAGTTCACTATAGTACCAGCACAACGATTTCTGTGAGCGAACACGTTGACGTATGGGAGTCCAAATCCAGACTAGATCACACGATTCGTATGTTACTCCTCCATGATGGGTGCTGTACCGGCCAACATATTGATTTTGCCGCGATAAAATGCGAAAGTGCGCGAGCTGCTGGGTGTCTTCGGCACGCTGAACAAATACATCTGCGTCCGGAATAGTCATGTCCGGCAACGTTAGTTGCAGCGTTGTGTCCAGTATTCTGGTGTCGTCACGGCCGTAAACCAGATGAAAAGGAACATTGCCGGTCGTGTCCAGGAACAGCCATGTTGTAGGCAAATGTGATCTACGGGAGGATTTTGTCCCTATTCTTGTGATCCTTGGTGACTTACATCGGAAGCATATGTGCAATCGTTTTGTTAAGGTGTTTGGTTAACCCAGTAGTCTGTGGGTGGCACGCAGTTGCTGTTCGGTGCGTCATACCACTCAGCCACAGGATCTATCTGGGAAACTGTGCCGTAAATTCAGCACCACGATCTGAGTCGATGGCAGCGGGAGCACTGTGGCGGAGCACGAAGCTCTTGATAAAAAATTTAGCCACATCCGGAGCAGTTGCTCACTGCGCGGCTTGTGTTTCGCAGTATCTAGTCAAGTAGTCAGTGGAAACAAGAATTCAGGGGTTACTAGCAATACGCTTTGCAAATAGCCCAAGTAAATTGATTTCGATCGTTTCAAAAAGTGCGTGAGGGGGTTGTATAGGCTGAAACTGAAAGGCTGGCTTCATGGGTGGATTTTGTGGCGTTGACCAACTGTGCAAGCCTTGGCGTACTGATGAACGGGTTTTGTAAATTTCTGCCAGTAGTAATTGTTCCTGATCCTCGCCGAATAGCGCGTGAAGCTAAGATGCCCTGACGATGCCTCGTCGTGGCAAGCACGCAAAATATCATTGCAGAGAGCAGCAGAAACGACAAGAAGGTAAACAGTTCTTGTTGGATGAATGTTGCGCTTGTAGAGAATGCCTTGGCGCAGATATAAAGTTGAAAATACACGCGCAAGCTAACGTGCGGCCTGAGAGCAACGCCCTCAAGGTATTCGATCAGTGGCTGTAGTTGTAAGTCCTCGCGTTGCTGCTCAGCCACGTTTAATGAAACAAGAATAGCAAAGCAGCTGAAGTCTTCATTCTTGTCTTGTGCACTGATTTCCACGGGTGCGCGGGAAAGGCAGTCAGCGTCGGTGTGTTTCTGGCCAGACTTAAAAGCTGTCGTTACATCAAATTTCTGTAACTGAAATCTCCATCTTGCGAGACGGCTCGAAGAATAAGATTTGCCAGCCTGCAGAGAGGGTGGTGGCCACTGACGATTCGGAAGGGGCGGCCGTAGAAGTAGGTCCCTAATTTTTTAATGACCCATAGAACCGCCAGACATTCTTTTTCAGTCATCGAGTAGTTGTTCTGTGCCTATGACAACGCGCGGCTACTAGCGTAAGTGATGACGCATATCTCGCCATCTTGATATTTCACAAGAATAGCTCTGAGGCCACGATTACTCGCATCAGTGCAGACTTCCGTGTCGGCTTCGGTGTCGAAGTGGCCAAGAATGGGCGGCGTTTGTAGGCGTTGTTAAAGGCAGCGGAAAGCGTCGGATTGTTGTGACCCCGGACGAAGGGGACGTCTTCCTTGACGAGTTGTTGTAGAGGGTCGGCGATTTTCGAAAAGTTTGAAATGAAGCTTTGGCAACAGCACAAAGGCCTAAAAGTTGCGTACATTGTGCTTTACCTTCAGTATCGGGAACAAAGCGACTCCCATAGCCTTCTGAGGGTTGGGTGAACACCGCTGCTGCTGACAATATGGCTATATAATTTAAGTTTGTCACGTCCAAAATAACAGTTTTTTTCCGGTTTCAGAGAAAGGTGGGCGGTATGAATAGCCGGACTAACCGCCTCAAGCCGCTCAATATACTGTTCCAAAGTCGTAGAAAAATGACTGCGTTGTCTAAATACACTAAACACGAGTGCAACTTCAATTCACACAAAACTATGTCCATAATTCGTTAGAATAGTGCTGGAGTGAAAAGGGAGAACTTTAAATTTATAGACACGATCAGGTGTAATAAACGGTGTTTTTTCTCGGTCCTGTTCATCTACTTCAATCTACCAGTATTTGTTACAGAGATTCATAGAAGACAACTACCCGGCATGTCGCAGGTGACTCAAGGAGTCATCAATGCGAAAAAGTGGATGTATGCCTTCTTTGTTATCTTGTTCTGTTTGTGGTAGTCTACGCAGAATGGTAGTAAACCATCATTTTTTAACCAGGACTGGCTACGCCCAAGGACTTGTCGATGGTTGAATCACGTCGTCGTCGAGAATTAATGTCACTTGATGGCGGATGGCAACCTGTCTCTTCTGTGACATGCGTTAAGTATGTTGGTACAGGGGTTGAACGTTAGGCTCAGTGATGATTCCATGCTTCTTTAAAGGAGTCTGCCACGCTTTCGACGTTGTCGCAAAAGATTCACTAGAGGAGCCTTGCCTATTGATGTTGTTCTAACTGGCGATTGATATTGAGGTGACTATTGAGGTCAGTATCGCAGCTGTTTTCAGTCGAGATTGTCGTAATAAACGGGAAGGCGTCCAAATCATCTAATACCTCCAAGTTAGCTACAGTGGTGCATTTCGCAAAATGCCTGTATTTGGCACTGAAGTTCCTAACTAAAAGCGTAGTCTGGTAAGTTCGGAATTGAATGAGTCTTTGAGCAATGGCGACTTCCCGGTCAAGCAATACCTTGAGGTTACTTTCGGTTATGCCCGTAATCTACTGTTCCAGCGGACACTCAACAAGAACGAAGATACTACTGCGAGGCGGCAACGTGACGCAATTGCGTAAGGCCGCACCACGATGTTCGTTCTCGATGACAGAATGTGGAGAAAGACAGTTAGCGAAGCTAACGAAGAAATAACGCCAAATAATTATCGCTCTATACTCTTGATGAAAATCTATGCCCAAAATGACCGGTCAAAAACAGTTGGACAGTACACTGAATGACGCTACAAAAGCTGACACATAAATCTCAAGCTTGGTGGTGCACCTTACCATAAGAGGTATGAGGCATCCACCAGTGGTAAATATTTGAGGGCCGTCTCACGTTGTAAGCATCTTGTGTAGACGGGTGGCCATTGAAGCACTCATCACCGAGTAATCAGGTCCTGTGTCGACAAAAGCAATCACCGAATAACCGTCGACGAAAACGGTAATGGCAGCGGACGTTCTGCTGGTGTTTTTGGAAGGAGGCATTGACGGTACGTCCTAAGCCAGCAGTGGAGAGTATTCGTGTGTTCTCGTAAGCGGCCTCACACCCAATGGTCTGCGTTTTCAGTGTCTTCGGCGTGGGCTTGCGCCACTGACACCGGGGGACCAAAGGCTGGTCGCTCGCGTTGGGTTGATGCGTATGTACGAGGTAATGGCGACCGTGAATGTCGTCACAGCGGGGCAGGAGTGTGATGACTACCTTCCAATTAATTCGCAATTTTTCGCGGGTGCTGACCATAGCGCGGACTACCGGCATCTGGGTGGAATCCTAGTAGGCCTATTCGTCGGTTGTCACAGTCGCTGTAGAAGTGTTCAACTTCGCCACAATGGTAGCACAAATGAGGATTGTCGGGTGCACGACAGACGGTGGACTTCCGCGAACCTGGACGAAAGTCGGCGTGCAAAACCGGGCGATGGGCTGGACTTGGAAAATGTCTAGGGGCCCCAGCAGGTGGATGAACAAAACGTGCCGTCGATGGCGTAGAGACGCGTAGGGCATCCACGTAAGAAAGCGTGAAAGGTTCGGCTTGCCATGGTGCTGATGAATGAACGAACTGCCTCATTTTTCTCTGAACGACATCCGTAAAACCAGCGATACTAGGAAGGGCCATTGCAGGAGATCTTGAAGTTTTTCGCGTACAACCTGACATATGAGTTGTGTGAGGACCTCCATGCCACCAACTCCGGGTACAAAGGAGCACGCAGCGGGCATGGTCGTCTGACACTTATACTGCGACAACCGCTGCCGTAGCATGCACTCCAGAATCCTGACCTCATGTAAGATCTCCGACACCGTCGTAGGAGGGTTGCGCACAAGGCCCATGAAAAGCTGCTCCTTTACGCCTGGCATTAACAGGCGCACATCCTTTTCTTCTGGCATGTGGGGGTCAGCCCGCCGAAACAATCGCGACATTTCTTCGACAAACATTGCGATGCTCTCGTTCGGCATCTGAAACCGCGAAGAAAGCGCCTTCTCAGCTCTTTCTTTCCGCTCGGCGTTACTGAAGGCCTCCCAAACCTGCCAATGGAATACTCTGCAACTCGAGAACGAAGCTTCATGTTTCTCGTTCCGCACTCTTTTTGCGTCTATGAATGAGATGTCGACGTTCTTTACCTTACATTGTTTGTCGCAGTCGTTGATGGCGGCAAACCGGTTGAAATGGTCAAGCCATTTTTGTGCATCTTCACTGACTTCGCCGTGAAATGGGTTGGATGTGCGAGGCGTGCTGATGACACAGGGCACGCTAGCTAATAGGTCATGCTCGGTTTGAGTTGCGGATGTGGCAAACATTGTTTTCGAGGAACTTGCCAAGGAGCCGTACTCTGGTGGTCGTCCTTGAAGGCGGCGGCTGCTTCGATGGATATCAGCAGAGCCTATATATATAGTGAACTGGCGTTCATTGATTCTGGTTCAGGCCCAGCAGGCAGAAGACGTCGCAGCACAGTACCCTGCATTATCACCAGTTTGTCGCCAGAGGAAATGACATACAGAGTCTCGAAGCGACCGAATATTTACTCAGCGACAGCAGCCACTCAATTGTTAGCTCTCTTCTTCTGCCACCAACACAACGTGGCAACATGTATGATCAAGCACCTTGTTCGAGGCCAAAGTCATACATCATTGTTGATGAAAAAAAACTGGAAGAAAATGAACTCACCTAAGAAAAAAGAATGTATCAACACTGCTGAATGCAGCCACTATCACCATGTTTGGCCAGTGGCTCGTGCTGGACAGCAAGTTTTGTAGGCGTGCTGCAAAAAAAAAGATAACGCGCACATACAGTTTTCAGTTCTTAAAGTGAAGTGAGTCACGCAAAGGTACACGTATCAGTAATTTCTGGCCAGAGTAAAATGTAATACAATATCGCCTTTCAACTGAATTAAGAATAAATGCATCCATTAAATTGTAGTGGCGTACCACTGACATTATTAGACACATATGAAACATTAGCCGACTCCTCACTATAACGGTCAGGCATGAACGTAGTATTCAAGCACAATCATGAATTTATTTCGTTATTTCGAGACACAACCGAACAAAAAAAAGAAAAATTTTCTTGGAAATTCTTTAGTGTGTCAACGCACGGCCGATGAATATTTGTACTTGCAAGCACATAACGTGATGACATCTAAAAATGGGCACTCTGTTGTGGTAAATGACATGTTCAAGGATATTTATTATGGTTTATTTCTTTTTAAATGTACCTTAACTGAAAAAAATAAAGATTTATTAGATATTGTGCTTTGGATACTGTTAACTGCAGTCGCTCAGAGACGTTAACCTGTAGTAGCGATATATTTCCCGTAGAACGAAGTAGTAATGCAGATCACTGATATTCATATGTATTGCTCGAGTGCAATTAAGAAATACCTATATAAACAGTACTTATTTTGGCCAAGCATCGGTTACTTTAATCAAGAAAGGTACTGCGAAAAAAAGGTCAAGGACTGCTTTTATTAAAGCTATTTTTTGTTTGTATGCCCTTCAAAACACTGCAGGGCCCCTTGCCTAGAAAGGTATTTAAGATCCCTGACTCACAATGAGTGTTATTGTGCTACGCACATATTCAAATAGCCAAAAATGTGACCGCAAATGATATAGCGTATTTATACTGGCATTGGCTTTTCTTGTATAGCAATATAGCCTTGCATTTTTTGTGTGTATGCAAGGGCGACTTTCGTTTTAGCGTCGTTTCTTAACTCAGCCTTCGGAGAGACACAGCTTCTATGTGTTTCAATTTGCATAGCAGCAGCATCAAAGAAATGCCAACACACAGATATGTCACTGATAAAGACAATTTTCTATAACTTGCTCACACCACGTATCCGACATGGTCTGGTAAGAGTGGCCCATGACGATGTAGGCGACGCTGAAGAACCGCAAGCCGTGAAGGAACTGCAGCTGGTGGTGGTCGGCGTTGGCCTTGTTGGCAACCTTGAGCAGCTCGCGCGTGTTTGCCGCTGCCGAGAACACGGTGACAACAGCCATGAGACCACCTGTGATTGATAAATCCACTGCTTGTATAACAAAGTGACCGGAAACATTCACGCGAACACGTCATATTGACCATGCCCTATGACGTGTGGTTCGGTGAAGCTACCTCAACGCTGTTTGAAAAGTGAAATTTTTAGACATACGGAACGTTTCATCGTCATTGTTTATCGCATTTTATGAATGAGTGACCAGTTTCAACAACAACCTGAAAGCGAATTCCGCTCGTCGAGTGGGAGCAAGTTTCTTGCTCCATGGCCGAGAATCTGAATTCCGCTGGTAGATTCGGAGCAAGTTCGTGCTTTCCACGGGCGAATTTGAAGCAACTCACTCCGTCATGGAGTGTTCCGCGTGCTCCGTTTTGCAGAGACGGATTTCGCCAGAACTCTGAGAATGCGTTGCCATTATCCTCGGCACGGCCGGGCAACTAGACTTCGTTTTTTTTTGGGGGGGGGGGGGGCAACGTAGTCACCCTGTACACCTGTTTACATTCTCAAAATGACGTCGTTTTACTCGGCTGGACGTACTGGTGCTGGTTTGCTTCTGACTTTGAGTTACAGCAAGAACACTATTTTTGCTAGAAGTGGCATTGAGGAAGTGTTGACTGATACGCCATGTGCACAGCAGAAGATAATCGGCTACGTCGAGGAAGTTTTCGGTACCGTTTTAGTGACGTATGCCTAAACAACTTCCGGAGTAACCTTACGCGGGGCATTCGAGTGTTCTACTAGCAGCTCTGCTTGGCGCCACCCGAGTGCTCGCTCCAAGATTTTAGCGACCGCTCCTCATCTACTAGTGAAATTCGCCACAAGATGACCCACCGGACCGCAGATTGCTCTCCTATTGCTTTCAAAGTACTGCTGCCTTCGCAAGACCTATAGCAACAGCAAGTTCTTTCGCAACACAATTGAAACTTCGGGATCTAGTAACAACTATGTATGAAAACAGCTGGATGTGTTAATGCGCGCAGTCGCAATACTATTTCAAACTTCATTTTTGTCCTTACCTCTCTTAGTCAGCAATGTGCAACAATGTGTCATGCATTGTGCAGTGATTTGCAAACAGAATTACTACTTTATTTAACTATTCGCTTCACACATTTGTGACATGTGAAGAGATTGATTGATTAATATATATGTGGGGTTTAATATCTCAAAACTACCATATGATTATCAGAGACGCCGTAGTGGAGGGCTTCGGAAATTTCGACCACCTGGGGTTCTTTAACGGGCACCCACATCTGAGGACATGGGCCTACAAGATTCCCGCCTCCATTGGAAATGCAGCCGCCGCAGTCGGGATTCGATCCCGCGACCTGCGAGTCAGCAGCCGAGTATCTTAGCCCCTAGACCACCATGGCAGAGCGTGACACGGGAAGAGAGTGTAGATACTGTACACTGCAGCTTCGACAGACTTCGTCTGCCAGGCTAGTCCTGTATATACCATCATCAGCAGTAACACTATATTCTGTCAAGCAATCACGAATTCAGTTAGTCGAGCATGATAAAAACGCCTGAGCTACGTGGACCCTGCAGCAGAGTCACAACGAAAGCTAGAACAGCGGCCTTTCAGAGCCTTTTGGAGACACTCTTTGGGTAACTGCTAGAAGCACACTGCTTGGTGCCCACTACGCCATATTATTCATAATTTTTGTTGTTGTTGTTGTTGTTGCTTCTGCTGTTGTTGTTTTTTTCTACACATATCTCGTACCGCAAAGAGGTGCTTGGCCACTTATCAGGTGAATTTGCCCGATACTTTTAGCATTGCTTCATTTCTAGAAATGCTAGTTATTTAACTACGATTTGAATTTCCAATTGCGAATTAAAAAATATGTAGTGAGCCCATAATTTAGCAAAAACTTGTTTAGTCGCAGTGATGTATTGCTGAACGGCGAATAAAACATCCCTGTGGCTGTACCTCAGTTTAGAAGCTCTAAAAGAAAAACGACAAGTTAAAATAATAGCAAGCCCAGTTTTTCAAGAGGTAGTGCAAGTATGCTTCTCTTGAATAAATGGAAACGGCGACAATATAATAAAAATGAATATTTCTTTTCTTTTGTTTACAGTAAATGCACATAGCGGAATTCAATGAACCGGATCTATGCAAGTAAAAATTCATGAAGGTAACGCTGCAAGAAAATTTTGTGATGAGAACTTCCTTCATCCTTGAATTATACAGTCTCTTCACCAGGAATATAGCAAGTGGTTATACTTCGGAGAAGGCGTCAGTGCAGAGTGTGATAAATTTTGCCGGAGGTTAAGTGTGTGAAATCGCGCCACAGTAATGTGCACTGTAGGTAGTAAAATAGAAATGACCGGTGACGAAAGCGATGCTTTTGCAAGAGAATTAGCTATTTCCATAGTGCCAAGAATGAATTAATACTTCGAAGATGACAGGAAATAAATTAGTTAAAAAGTTTCAGTATGGGTCAGCAACCGGATGTAGACAGAGAAGATCACACACATAATAAGTCAGTTATGATTGCTACGACTGGAAGCGAAGTATTCACCTTGCGCAAAGCTAACATTATTGCCGAAAAATTCAGCCAGAATGATAGGAAGAAAATCTGGTAAGCGAAGTGAAAATGGTCAATCAAGTGCAGGACAATATACTCCGGCGCATGATTTTTCATCTGACTGTGATGCGTCTATTGCAATAATGACATTAGTTTGCAGATCACTTAATTTTTCTTGCAATAAACTGTTCAAAATGCTTGTAGGTAATAGCTCAGTGTGAGTTGGGAAGATATCATGGTAAACAATTGCTGGAGAAATTAGTTTCTCAGATAAAGAAAGCAGATCACGAACTTATACATTTAGAGGCTCAAGTAACGATTGAACAAATACTAATTGTGGTTTGTGAAATCTGAGCCAGTGCACAGAAAAAAATAAGTCAGGATTGGAAATAATAATTTGACCAGGGTTAAAGGTTGCTTCGCATAATTGTAAAAAAGTCAGCCCTGTGAGAATGTTAAAGCTACATAAAAGGGGTGGCATTTGTGCTTTCAGGTATAGCACTGCATTAGCAGTATACTTTGGAAGTTCTAAGCAGAGCCGTAAGTTCTCTCTAATAGAACGAGTGGCCGAAGCTTGTGGGATGGCACACTTGAAAAAAGAATGCATCCAAACTCCAACACAAGTCGAACATACATTTTATATATCATAAAAAGTGTCTTCCTTTTCATCCCTGATCTACAGCTGCTCAACCTCAGCAATATGCCCATTGCGTGTACTCCTTTTGTCGCGATGTATTTAATGTGAATGCGCCAATGGAGATGTTCATATATACATAACTCCAAGGTATTTCTATGATTGTACACGTGGAATATCTTGGAGCTTATAATTATGATATATGTGTACAGGATCTTGAACAGAAAAAATAAGAATAGCACGTTATTTTGTATTCAGATTCAACATCAAACCATTCAGCCAATGTTCGAGTATATGTAGGTAAGCTTGCAAGATATTGTAACGACACTAGATGTCAAGTGCCAGTGCAAAAACAGCAATCTGGCTTAACGGGGAGGGTACTAAGCAATATGTTGAATAATACGGGGGAAAGCACTGACCCCTGTGGTACACCTCTAGTGTGCTTGTGCTTACAGGAAGAGAAGCAGGCTTGAAAACAATAAAATTCTCTTCATCCCAAAAATTGTGTCACCCAAGCTACAATATAAAGTGGGAACCAATGACTCCATAGCTGATTAATCAAAATAGGATACTATACACTATTGTATGCTTTACATATGCCTAACGTTACTAAAGCCGCATACTGCTTTTTGTGACGGTAAGCGTTAATACGACTTTCAAGTTTTACATGCGCATGCCATATGGAATATCCAGATGTAAAACCGATTTGGGAAGAACTCAACAGTTCTTTCTCAATACTGAACCTAATTCTATGGCCACGAAGTACCATTTCAATAAGTTTTGGTACACTAGATGTTAAGGCTATCAGTCGTATGATGTCTAGATTATAGCTTGCCCCTTGTTTCTTAAGCAATGGTATTATCTTAAGAATCATCTATTCATAAGTTATCTATGCTCTTCTAAGGGAATGATTGACGAGACCTAAAAGATCACTCGGATATTTCTCGCATAGTATTTTTAGCATTGTATTTGTTATTTCATTGGGGCCTGGTGCTGCATTTTACAATCTTTCCATAGCCTCACTTATTTCGGCAGTCGATATTTCTGTTTAGTTATTGATGCCTGGTGCGTAAACATAATTGGGAAGACACGTTGAAAACTCATTTTCTAATCTTTCAGCCAAATAATTTGATGATTTCTATAGTTCTTGTGACGTGTTAACTACTGAATCAACGTTTCCTGATATAGAGATCCTCTTACTACCACAAAGAAAATTGAATAAAGCACATTTGTTATTAAATTTAGACAGGTAATCGAAATATTCTTGATCAGATTGCTCTTTTGCTCGCGATACACTGCGCTTAAGTGTTGCCACAATGAACTGACAATCCTTCCAACTTTGTGGACTCTGAATATATGAGTCTTTTCCATGCAGCTTTTCTTCTTATATAGTCTCGTGTGCACTCAGAATTCCACCATCTGCTAGGAGTGGCACTTGTGGTGGTTGACGCCGAAGCAAGTACAAATTGTGGAGTGTTCTTGGAGATTTCTAAAGTGTAACATACTTTTCTGCCAAGCTCTTCATTTTGACCACTAGACACCGCCCTGATATTATAACGCAAGCAGACTTTAGATGTTTTGTAATAGATCAATGTTTTCTTTATCTCTTCAACAGATTTTAGAGGACGTGCTATTTCAAAGTTTACAGAGAGATGGTCACTGTTTGAAGGGAAATAAATTGTTTTCGAAGACCTTATTGAAACACTCGAGCTGCAAAACATATAACACTGATCGTGTCCGTCCGCAAATAATTGTAGGCTGTATCCTATTTAGGCAGATAAGGCTTTTATGAATCATACAATACCACAGAAGAGTACCGGAAAAGTCTGTTCGAAATCCCCGCGAAGTATGATGTGAGTTGAAATCACCAGTCAGAAGGAATTGATTCTTGCAACTAGCTAAGGCAGTACCTAATTATTGATTATTATGCACACCCGTAGGAAAATATGTGTTTATAAGAAAAAAAGGGTGGTGCCCTGGCCGACTGAGGTCTATTGTCCGAATTTCACAGCCTGAGGACATAGGCTGAAAATCTGTGCTTGCGGTGTGGAAAATTCATTCGACACCAGTATAATTAAACCACTGTGTAGTAATTGATGGTCTAGCCGAATATCTCTAAAATTGTTGACATGATATTTCTTAGCAGGGTTAAGCCAGTTTTCTTGTAATACTATGATATCGGGATATAATTGAATGATTAAGCAAAGTAAATCAGTAGAAGCAGGAATCAGAGACCTACGATTCCACTGTACCACTTTCAAGGTATCTATGTTGACGAACTAATCACTACTGAAATTACCACTTATAAAATACTCTCTTTGATAAGTGAACCGGCATTGGAGTTGCCCTTTTTAGTCTTAAAATGGGCAACAAGATTTTACAGGGCATCCATTGTGCTTCTTATGCGCAATTCTTGACATACGTCCATTTCATTCTGATCCTCTGCATGAGTTGAGGTATAAGGTTGACAAAAGTGGGGTTTCCTCTTCTCGGGGCTTCCACTGTGGGGCTAAATTCGGCTTCTCTTCCACTGCACAAGGTGTCGACTTGGCTATCGGTACTGCTACTGTTGAAACCAGGTGTGTCATTTGTGAGCAAAACACTTGAGAAATGCACTCACTTACGCTCTTAACTAGCTGTTCCAGTGCTCTTGATGTTGCCTTCTCTACTGCTTATTGAATAAAATTGAAAAGCTTCGTCTTATTAGTGGCGTGTGCTTCGATGTGACCCCAGCATATCCGATCGCCCTATTCTTTACAACTTTTATCGCTTCTCGCCGCGAGCAACGTCCCCTGTCCATTATTTCCAGCAGTTGAATTTTATTGGATCTTGCGGTGCAGTTCAAGTAACCAGCCACATGATTTCCTGCACAGAAGCAGCACTTTTCGGTTACGACAGTGCACTCCTTCGATGGATGAGCACCGCCTCAGATCCGGCAACGTGATTTAGATTTACAACTCCTTACACTGTGACCAAAACGCCAACAGTTTTGACACTGGAGAAGGCGAGAAGCAAGGCGTTCGACTCTGAAAATAAGTGGCCATTTTTTTCAACGATGATGGACACGAATTGCCGGCAAAGGGAGAATTAACCAACTCAGTGGGAAATTTTTCACATTTAACAATCCTTCGTAATTCTTTGGACAAGTGAGGTTTCCGCTACACACTTGTTAGGAATTTTTTTGCAATTTTTATGCATTAGCTGATGACGATGAAGAAATATGCCTGAAGTGGGTATGCACACCCATTATTACGTGATCAAGAACATGTTTTGTAATAGGTTGGAGCTTTAGACGACCCACTCGTTATGGAATTCGCATTGTGTGAAGCCTGGTAGTTCTTTTGACGTTTCTAAAAGACTTTACTACTCATATTTACGCGATTCTTTTCCCGACATCAAGATTGTCTAAGGCAAATTTAGAAAAGAGTTTCAAGCACTGTCGTAGCTCAGTCATAAATAAGAAGAAAAACTGTTGTAGCGAAGTGGTAGAATACTGGATTATCATGCAGTAGACCCGGGTTAAAATCCCATTTTGTAGTTAGCGTTTTTATTATTTACTGATGCTTTTTTTTCTTTGATACTTGTTACGGGCTCCGGCAGTGGCAGCGGCGGCAGATAATTACGTACGGCGCCGCGCGTGACCCCTGTATGGATCTCATAACAGCTTTCACTGTAAAACCACTTTTCCTGTGCTAACAGTTTTGAAAACACGATACACAAGCGTATATATGTATAAAAATCACTGATTGATTGATTGATTTGTGGGGTTTAACGTCTCAAAACCACCATATGATTATGAGAGACGCCAAAGTGGAGGGCTTCGGAAATTTCGACCCCCTGGGGTTCTTTAACGTGCACCCAAATCTGAGTACACGGGCCTACAACATTTCCGCCTCCATCGGAAATGCAGCCGCCACAGCCGGGATTTGATCCCGTGACCTGCGGGTCAGCAGCCGAGTGCCTTAGCCACTAGACCACCGCGGTAAGACCCCCGTCACAGAGGAAATATTTTCACGTAGATAATCCACATGCCTGTCCCAAGTGAGCTGGGAAAAAAGTGCACGCCAAGACTTTTGCGGCTGTCAGAAATTTCAATGTTTTCACCTTTAAAAGCAATTGTACTAATAAATTGAGCAATTTATTTTTGGAGCCAAAATTTTCATTTAAGTAATTAAGTCATCTATAAGTGAGTACCCTATTCTAACTAATAAAAAATTACGAACAGTTTGTCAGAGAAACAAGCAAAACGATAGCCTTCCAAAAGGCTACCTGAAAGCTCATTGTTCTGCTGTTTTCATTTTCTGGCATGTGTATCTGTGGGTGACATCAGCACGAGAGATATTGACGAATGCAGTTAGACACTGAAATGTAAAACAACATTCTTCTTGTAGTTGTCTGTTCTGCTGACCATAACAATAAACAATAACAAACTTGGGTGTAAATCGCCGTAAATATCTGATTTAGTAAGCATAAAAAATTTATTTATGAACTCACTGTGCTTTCCAGCAAGGTTTTGCGTGGATTGGATGAAGAGGTCAGTTGTTGTGCTTCCAACAACAATGATGACTAGAAATCCTAAGAGTATCCTGCATCCCAAAGAAAAAGGTAAAATATAGACTTTTTCGTTAGCTACGCTTAATCATTGTATATTTCTCTGCGGTAGTTGAAATCGAGGTGTAAACAATTAAATTGAAGACTGGAGCGTAGGTTCAGCACAATCAGTAGAAATGAACGCTTTGTAATCTATAAGCGTTTTTTTTTTTTCGAGAGCGAAAGCGCACAACACCGACATCGGTGAAATCAATTATATATATATACTATCTGCTGTGAACATATTGCCTGTCATAACCAAGTAGGCATTAGCAAAAATAATCCTTGTAAAGACGTCATTATTTTGTAAATATGGGCTCATAAGAATTGGTCTTCTTAACAGCACGATATTTACCCCAGGCTTCTAGTGCCAGAATGACATGCGAGGTTGTGAAATCAAAAATTTTCTTCCGTCAACAGTCAAAAGTTTCTTGTTCTCTAACAATAGATTGCTTCAGGCTGAGGCCACCAAAGTTTTCATGATTTATTTCCGGCAGAGAAAACCATCAGCCAAACAAATGCGAAAATATGGCAAAGAACAACCAAAAGCATGAAGAAAAATGTTCTGTTGCTGGGAGTCGAACTCAGGACCTCTAGGTCATGGGCTTGACTTCCCAGTAAAAGAGCAACAAAACTGGCGGGCGTATATCCCACAACGCCACCACCAGAACCACGAAAGAGGCTATAAGAACGTCCATTTGATATCTCTTAGAATGCTCTTGTTCGCAGGATGGTGTCACCGTCTAGACACGGAAAAGTCAATTTATTCTTGGCTTGCGAGGCATCAAAGCCGAAGCAGGGAACACACAACGTTCGTTGCGTTTTCTTCGCGTTTCACGACGCTTTGAAGGAGTGCTTACCAAGTACCAGCTTTTATTAGACACTTTTTGCTGCCCTTCTCCCCATATGTAGGGCCCCCATATATAGTACTCAAGTATCTGTCACAACTTTTGCCACCACGAAGGTTAAATTACGATCATAGACCTTAGTCATCGGAACAAGATGCGCTGCTAGGCGTCAACGTAAATGGGTTCACTTCGGGTGGAGCTATATCTTACAAGCACTAATAGATGTTCTCCTATAGCTCTCATATATAAATACACTACAATCCAACAACTAACTATATACTTCTGTGAAGACACTTATCACTTTCGTGTTATATTGGTTACTATGACGTAGAGATCAGCCATGTTTTTGTTTATTTTTTTGAGAAACAAAAGTAACACGCCCAAGAAACGTTAATTTATGAACGGTGTTTTCGTATTTCTTCAGGAAATAAAGCATTTGCGAAGGGCCCGTTGTTCGCAGCTTTACTTATCAGAACATCAGAACGGTCACTTGATATAATGCAAAGATATGACTTCAGAATAGTCATATGAGCTGACCGGAATGTCACAATTCAGCAAAAAAGAAGCAGCGTAAACCAGATGCGGAAACATAAACACATACAGTAAGACTTGAGTCACCCTGGAGCTCGTGTAATGCGTGTCTATGCAAATATCTGCTTTTCCCCACCATTATTGCTTGCAGATACGCGTGTTCATGCGAGAACATACTAGTGTAACCAGTATTTGAAAAACCCAGAGATTTAAAGACACAATTATGCGATGTAGAAAACATGAAGCAGGTGTAATGTATTACGCGCCGCAGTTAAATTAGCATATGTATTTAAGAAGCCGCCTGCTACATAACTGCTTACATGATCAAGTGAAGGTCAATGTAAAATGACGCTGTACTAAAAACCAAAGAATAGGTTCCGCACATTTATGATATCTCTAGGTGTGGCAGTGGAAAAAAGATTGTGGCCTTTTGTAGTGTTGTAGAAGGGAACGATTGAGACAACTTTCTCACATATTCATTGACCTTTCATAAGAATAATACTATTGAAGATTGACTATCGCTGATAAAACAACCTCACTGGACTAAAAGAAAGCCTGGACTTTTGTAGGAAGCAAAAAAAAAAATTGGGTGCGTTCGCGTGTATACCTTGGTCATTCAGCAGCGGGATTTATTGGGACAAAAGAAAAGCTCGAGTGAGCGCGGTGCCACCTCTTGACTGAAAATTATTCAGCGGTTTTTAATAAATGATGCCAGCTAACGCTCATGTGCAGTGAAGACTTTCGCTGAAATATGGGTCTCCCATCAACATTAGCGAGCCAAGCAGGAGCGTTGAGAGAAGGCCATTTTAGAATGAGGGAGTAAATGATTGGGTCAAAGGAAAATAACTTTGTACAAGTAGGATGTGATACATAATCAATCAGCGGGCAAAAAAAAATACGGAAACTGTAGGACCATACACTTCAGCCAAATCGCAGGCACATGTGAGTCGTATCTACTCATGCGTTTGTTTCATTATACCGGTTACCGCTGCTTCATTAGCCATGCAAGCCTGGACCGCAACGTCCATGTTGCAACGCAATCGTAATCATACTGTCTTCAGCAACCTTACGTCCAGATAATAGTTTGCTTGATGCTCTCCGTTTGACACATTGCATACACTATGCCGGTACACTATGCCGAATACACTTGGTGTTCTGTTTGTTTACACTTTACCGAGAAATATTCGCAAGTATGCAAGCATGTAGACTTCAGTATTAAAAAAATCCAAATTTATTTTTGCAAAAAAATACCATTATAGTTGGCATATTCGCTTAATCTTACTCAATATTGCTTCCCTCCTAGTTCGCTGTTCTCTTCGCTATGTGCATTACACCATAAAAACTTGTCAAAAATGAATGTGGAACATTCGAAAATAAACATTCTCATCTTTGTATTTTCCATAACAGATTCTCACTGAAGGTACAATGACATTTGTTTCTATTATCTATTATACTTCTTTGCAAGATTTCTTTTTTACATGTGTAAGATGAGCCAACATACTGTTTCTACGTTCATTTGACAATGGGTGAGAAGTGAAAATATATTCCGCAACAGTGCTATCCTTCTTGTATTTCCTACAAATTCATGGTAGAAGTTAGACGCGGGCATCAAGCTCAAATAAATGTGCTAAAGGAAGATGTATAGAGAAAAGTAAGGGAAAGAACAATCATGTTGACCAGAAAATTATAAAAACAAGTGACAGTCATTTGTTGTCTGATCCTTGGTGATTCTTATGCCTACCTATGTATATGAGTTCCCGATGATAATTAAAGTACTATAATAGCCATAAGGAGAAGCATAGTGGAGGGCTCCCACTATATTCACCATCTGTAATTCCAATACATGCACCTAAGTTGAAGTACACAGGCCCAAGCATTTGCGCCTTCTTCGAGAATGCGACCACGGTGGCCGAAATAGAACCCGTTTTTGTGTAAGTGGCGAACAACCATATCTTCTTTTTTGGTACGCGCAGTTTAGTGGCAGCAGACTATTTTTTATTTACGTTGCTTTATCGGCAATTCGTGAAATCTCGTGTAGTGCAAGCAAACTATATATATATATATATATATATATATATATATATATATATATATATATATATATATATATATATATATATATATATATATATATATATATATATATATATATATATATATATGCTCAGTTGTAGAGCATCGAACGCGTTATTCGAAGTTCGAGGTTTGGCTCCTCCCCACCGCAGGTTATCTTCTTACACACTTTTTTTTCTTCACACTTTTATTAAAATTCGGTCTAATAACTTCCGCTATACTGTCTTTTGCCTTATTGTCTGTTAGATTTCATTATTAATTTGTCAAACATGAAAAAACAAGCCCTTAGGTATGCCCTTCTTTCCCTATATATATATATATATATATATATATATATAGAGAGAGAGAGAGAGAGAGAGAGAGAGAGAAAGAGAGAGAGAGAGAAGTGTGCATGCTGTCTGAATTAACAAACTAAATAACACAGCCACGATTTTAGTTCACTTAGAATGTGAAAGACCGCGTAACTTGATTCTTATGTTTAAACACCACATTCACGAATAACTCACTCATAAACAAAGGAGGAAATCACAGGTAAGTCTAAGCGCTAAACTAATTTGACATTACACCTTCAAGTCTACATTTTAAAATTCAACCCAATTGCTGTACGACGCAAGCAGAGGATGCTCGAAGGGTGAGAGATGCGGATTCTGCTTAGTATATAGGCCGAATAGGAGCTAATTTGTAGCTTACGGCAAGTAAAACGCTACAAGGGCATATTTTTAACACATACTGGTAAGAGATAGCTCCCGTTAAACTAAGGTTATGTTTAGGCTTTGATAAGGTTCCGATTTCTTTTCGCCAATATCGCGCCGTATAAACATTCGGCAGCGTCTGTAAACAACTTAAATTCATACTTTCCACACTGTATGTCACATCATACTTACACAATGAGCTTTTGTGTTGTGCTCCATGGTTCAGGCCTTATTGTGAGGCAAGTGGATACCTCGATGTCTACAACTGAAGGCTTCACTGTAAATTATGCAAAATGTAACTGTTAGAAAAACATTACCGGTGAAGTTTTCAAGAGAAACTCTCTCAATGCACGAATAATTTAAAGAAGTAAATTGAAGGTATAGCAACACACGAGCATTATTTTTTACATTCCTATTAGAACAGACACGTCACATTTGTAATCCTTCGCCAACAGTTCACCACCGCTAGCAACAAATTATTCAGTGGTGACATAGGAGGATGAAAGCGGTACACGTCACGGCAGGTGCGTCACTTAAACTATACGTTTTGTCTTGTCATATCACTATATCTTTGGTACCCCTTCCCACCCGCAACAATAGCGTCATATCTTTATATCGTGAATGTCATCATAAATATGTGCTACGCATATCACGCATTCATCTCATGACACGTAGCTTATCTTTGTCAATGCGTGCAATTCATATTTCCGTACATACCCATTTAATAAAGCTGCAAATGAAATCGCCATGCGATGAAATGTAGACGTTGGAGGCCAGACGGACAAAAATACAGTACAGTATATTACATGAGAAGTTATCGTGGTGCTACAATTTACAAAAAGCTTTTGTCGAAAATCTGATATTAATATAGTATTTGATTAGAACTATTTACAACATTGCAAAAGGCGGGATGAGGAAAACAAGTAAGGCAGCGATCGCCTCAGTGCTGCCAAGAAAGAAGTCTCTGTTTCTGGTTTTCTTTTTCTGTCTTCCTTTCTCTCTTTCTTGCTTTATTTCGCAGCTTTTTTTGTATTCATTTCAAGTTTTCTTCCTGCTTCATTTATTTCTCTCTCTTTCTATTTAGTGGTTACTACCTCTTCAACTTTTTACGTGGTTTATATTGTCACGTCCCCCTAGCCATAATATAAGTGTCCGCACTTTTGGTCATCTTGAATTGTTCGAAGACCAAAATAAGGTATTCTTTCTCTTGGTGCAAATGCGCGCTCTGTATGCTACCCCTGGCTATAGCATAAGTGGTGTTGCCTGCGTAAAGCAATTCGCCGACAGCATACCAGAGGTTACAATAGCCAGGCCCGCAGGAGTGCTCCACACTTCACACACGTACTATTCTTACTATTGGTATTATAGATTAATTCAGGCACTTTCCTGTAGTTTAGAGGAGGGAACAATCATTGGAGAATGTTTCCTTTCCGTTATTCTGCCCGACACAAGGGTCTTCATCAAATGGAAGAATGTGGTCCCATAAACTGTACGCCGTCGACCTCTGTGCTGTAATCATGCCCTGGAGCATTCTCTCGAAAGGAAGGTGCAGTCCATTCTAAGAAAATGACGCGTGCGGACGACCGTTTCTCTACGTGCGTTGTGACCTTGAGCAGTGCTATTTAGGCTCTTTGTAACTTGTGCTTCGTCGTGCAAAGCGCCCCAGGTGAGTTTCTGTCTCAGGAATTCCTCAATGCCGAGTACGCAGATGCGATCGTTATGTGAAACCTCTGCGCGGTGGAGAGAAGCATGTGAAAGAGAGATAAAGACACCAAAGTGGTAGCAAAAAGGTTAAGAGAGAAACGAACTGAAGGTAATAAAGACAAATAAATATTATAAAAAAAGAAATACATAAACAGAGAGAAAGAAATAAGAAGAAACGAGCACATAGAAGAGATACGAGATATATACTCCCATGAAAAATTCTTATATGGCACATACGTGACATATCCGAAAATCGCATATGAACACGTATTAATCTTACGTGTTCTAGTACGATCATACGAGATCATTGGATCAGAGTCAGGGTCCGAGCTTACTGGTTGATTTAGATCACGGTAGCAGTAAGTGCACGAAGATGGAAACAAGAAGCCGACACACCAAGACCAGGTACCGAAGCTAGAATTACCTAGACCAGATTGCTCAAGAATCCATGAAGCATCATGCATAAAACAGCTGAGACACAGCTCTGTTAGCATGGCCTCTGTTTCTCTTCCGAAGAAAGAACTCGAGATAGTATTATTTAGCTTTGCTCTTACTTTCGAGTTTTAACCATTCGAATGATGCTTTTTTTATTCTGGTTTACCTTTTCATGCTTTCTACTTTCAACTGTTTTACCTTTTGATGAGTTCTATCGAACATAATCTCTCTCATCTTTCAACTTCCCTTTCCCCCGCGTAGAGTAGCTAATCGGAATACTGCCTGGTTAACCTTCCTGCCATCTACGATTTGTATTCCTCCCATCCTTTGTTCGGCCATGTTTGTTGTTTTATTGCGATAGCAATTATATGAGCACTGTCATCTGGATTTTGCCGCCGGTGTCCACGTGCGCGTCGCCGTCACACAGCGTATATGTGTACAAATCTACATATATGAAAACGCAAGAAATGAAAAACCCAGAAAAAGACTCTGGCGCGTGGAATCGAACTTGAGACCTCTTAAACGTGAGTGTGAGTCGTTAACCACTCAGCCACGGAAGAACACTTCCTCAACGTTCAAACGGTAAGCTATTTATATCTACCACTTGCCGCTGGTGACGGCATCTTAGGAGGAAGAAAACTATCGTGTTTGCAGCATTACCAGCAGGATGACGCAATGAGCGCGAGCCGCCACATCATCACGACGTGGTTGCGCGCGCTCTCATCTTAGCGCGTGCCCCGCGGAGAGGAGGTGTGGAAGCTCAGTCGCACGCTCTTATCTCGCGGTGATGAGAATCGTAAGTTTTGGCTGGCCTTTGGCTTTCACCGGAACAAATTCGGTGCACTTAACGGGCGCACACTGGTCACTGCAATCGATGCGTAGTCTCTGTTTGCGAAAAGAGCGCGCTTTCAGACACCACGAAGTAACAACTGAGACGCTTATTCGCGTTCATCTGTACCTGTGAGCAAGTTTCGTGCGTTATTTGTGAGTGAGAATCTCGGGGCGCATTTCGACCTGCTTGCTATTCAGCGCGTGACCTTGCATTTTTTTGCTATTGCCTTCATTGCTTCACCTTGGCAGCAAAGCTTTGACTCTTTTTATTCCTGTTTATTGATGCTGGCAAACGTTTTTTACACCCATCTTCACTTACCATATGCCCCCTTTTCACCCTGTTGACTTTGCCTTTCACAACGACTTCAAGATTCTGGTAACAGAAGTGTTGCTTGATGTTGCTACGTGTTTTCGCTTTATGGCCAGTTTTCTTGCGCTCATTAAAGAACCACTCACCAGGCCCCATGCCGAATTTTAGTTAGACATTGAAAGTTGTTGGAAGTCCAATGAAGAAAATTTTGACACAAAATTGTTTTGAATTGGTTCATCACGAGCGGAGAAAACAGGTTTTTCGAAGCGGCGCGAAACGAGAATGGAAGGAGGCGAGCTCGAAACCTTTGCCGCTCCTCCGCGTAGCATTCGCAAACCAAATCTTATCCCCACCCTCTCCGGCATCTAACCAAGAGGTCACGTGCGCATGACGTGCCCAAAAAGTCCAATCCCCGAGCCCCCGAGCAGCGTTGCTTTGTTGACCAACATTATTTTATGGTATTCTGCCTGTTTCTGTGGGGTGGTTTGGAAACACTGGCTTAGACGCGATAAAAGAGATCAGCACAATGAGTGCGTGAACGCGTAGGAGTGTTCCACGGCGGTCGCCTGCTCGATGCGCTGACCGCGGGGACACGAACTTATGCGAAACGCCGACACATTAGCCCCGCATCTCGTTCTAATTCACGAGAGAAAATAGAAAAATGACGCTCACTTTCTCCCATTACGTCTCATTATTAATCTAGAGTTTTATCATTCTCTTCAAGCAACAAACTACATAACCTACTCATGCCATTTTAAATAATTTTCACCATGTCGCGTGCCACTGTTTGCTAGGTCAGAGCAGATTCGTCTACGTAGATGACGAACGTCACTGCATTTCCGTGTACGTAAGGCCATTGATACGCGCACGTCATGCCCTCATTCTCTGGGCGCGCGCCGGCAGAAGGAAGGGGGGAGGGGCAGCGTTCATCTTGAAATTTGACCTATTTGCGGGGTGCGTAGCGTTGCAAATTTTGGCAGACGTGATCATGAACGCCTCGTCTACGCATTGCGCTTTTCAGCTCAAAATTATCAAACTTGGTGAGTGGCCTTTAAAAAAGCTAGTACTCGTAGGCGTTAAAATAAAAAACACAAAGATGAAAGTGTAGAAATGAGAGAAAAAAGAATAACCCAGTTCTCAAGCATGCGCAGTTACAATTTTATGAGGGATCAGAGTGCTATGCAGCATCTCTGAGTCGCAATAAACATCTGTTGAAAGTGACACCCCTTGTGTCATCTGTTGTTCCCATATTTGTGCGCTCAGTGTTTCAATAATGAGATTACTGGATATGTACCATATATGCCATATGAGATTGTTTAATAGCAGATGAAAACAAATAAAGAGAAGAATAAAAAAGAAACTGGCAAGTTCATAGCGCTCCGCTATTCCTTCAGGCTTGGCAACACTATTGCGATGTCATATTTTTTTATATTTTTTAATATACTTTAAAAGCAAAACATACACTTATCTATATTATGTAAACGGCACTTAACGACACAGTGTCAAGGTGCACTGGCTGTCTTGGTGTGTAGCTTTTGAATTGTGTTATTGTGTTGACATTTTAGTATCATAATTCTCTTCTGTCCTTCCATTTTTTCGCACCCCATATTCACTTTACACTTATAGGGTAGCCAACTGAAAATTCCCTCTAGGGAACCCCCCTCTTTATCGTTTAATCTTATCGTTTTCTATCTGTCTTGTTGAACTTCAAATGCTGCCTTTTCTTTTAAACATTGTTCATACAGTATATAATTGCTTGTTCCATTCGATTGTGTATATTGTTGTGTATTTGTGTACCTTACCTAAGCAGCGCCTCCTGTACTATGATCGTGGCTTGAAAACAAGCTGTTTAATTTCCAGCAGCGGGAACGCAAGAAAAGCGTAGCACACTATATATACGTAATTGTGAATAATGAAATTAGGTTATCACTTACCAGAGGTCATATACATCCTTTCCCATATAAAATGGGGTAATATACGGGATTTCATACATGGTCATTGTATGTTAATGTTTAGTTCTGAATTCACCGTATATATTCATTTACATCTTTTCGGGAAACATTAGTTCAACTTTGTAAGGAAAAATGACATGATTAAACCATGCAACCAAGCGTGTGTTGGACGTACCTGCGTTTACTAAGGCTTGTAGATCGCGTTGACTGCAGTCATCCAAAACGCAGATGCCCAGGCGAACGAGGGGCAGCTCTTCAAGGAAAAAGTAATTTTTGAAGTAGTACATCTGGAAAAAAGAAGTTAGTATAAGTACTTACGGAAAAGCAACGCCATACACTATGTGTGATGAACGATACCGTATGATGAAGAAAAGTATATGTCAAAAAAATTTTGCAATAAAGCCTCCACTTATACTTGTGTTCCATGTTCAAGAGCATATCAGTTTGCTAATTTGTTCCTAATGTTTCTTTGTGAGTAGGCAGCAGAGATAGTTCTCTGCTTCTGTTAGCGCTTGAAGAAGACTGTTTCGCTTACTGGAAGAATGCCTTCTCAAATTTCTATATATCCTCAAGCACCAGTGTACTCCTAATATTAAAAGAACAAAAGTGAAAACATCCTTCATTCAGTACCACGTAAACCTCTTGATAACAAATTGCCCTTTCTCGAAAGTGTGCTGCGCGAATGGTGAACCATGGGAGACGACATATTGAAGTCGCGTGGTATATGTTACTTAAAATTATTGTTATGGCGAGATAAGATCTAGCGACAGCGAGCGCTTGCACTTTCTTCTTGTATGTGTTGTATTCTAACAGAGACATAGTGCAGGCCTTTATTGTCAAGCCATGATGAAACTCGTACAAATCGCAACAACGTAAGACAACATTTGAGTATAAACACTTTAACAATTTTCGTGCAACAGCAATGCCTAATTAGATGCGGTAAATAAATGAATGCCTCCCTGAACACACACGCAAGGTATATGTAACAGGTTGTGTAACATCCATAGAAGCCCATGGGCCTAGTAGTCGGTGGCTTGTTGCCACCGTCACCATCTACTTGAAGAGGGGACAAACAGAAGCAAACTAAAAATAAAAGCTACGATGTCACAACCATAAAGTGGTAGTGACGTCGCACGCTTGCCCTACATGGCACGAAATACAAAGTTTTCTTTACAGCTGGTCTTTCACGTACCGTAACAATACGCTATTTCATAGAACCTTGTGCCTCACTAATTGCATGCGGAAAAAAGAACAGAAATAAACAAATAATGATGAAGTAAAGTTTTTTTATTTGCCAAATGACGTATTAGCAATATACACATGAAACTTCACAAAAGCAGTTGTCAGACAACTGCTCATGAGCATAATAGATCGAATACCTACGTTGCCCAGTCATCAAAAACCACTGTAGTGAGACAGCAACTTTGAAAACGTATCTTTGGCAGCCGTATAGAGTACAGCATCTCGTTGCTTAGCGTGTCGCGTTAACGGTCACGAAAGGTGACGGCATGCCAGCGGTTCGCCAGTGAAATAACTCGGCAGTCACAGGAGCGCTTATCTAGACAATAATTGAGCTAGTTCTGCTCTGGAATGTCACAACAGTAAACAGCACATAAAAATTAAATAAACTATTGAAGGTACGCACGAAACCACCGTGGAAAAGTGAGCGATGCCTCGTTGACCTGGCCATGCGCCGAACCAAAGAACACGCAGAACTAAACACAAGCTCTGATAGCAAATTGCCTAGATACGCCCATCCTCCAAATATATGGCACTCCACAAAAATTGAGGCAATCAAACATTTACCCACAGATGAGATACCCCGTAAAGTGAGTGTACAGTTAAGTTTACGTATGATTAATATTTCAAGAAAAATCATATTGAGTTTTTAGTTTTGGTTGCTTGTCCCCTCCTCACCTAGTCGCGCTTCAATCATAGGCGGGCATTGATGCCTGTGGGAATGAGTTTCTGACACCTTTCGTTCAAAGTTTAGCGACCCAAGTAATATGACCATCACACATACACGCACACGCACATATGCAAAAGGGGAAAGTGAAACGAGTGTGCTGGTTTGTTTTTCAAAGTCTTCAGGTCACGTCACTTATACGTGGTAACACACCTCTCTGAATCAGAGATTAGAGGTATCACTCACACTCGGATCCATGACTTGCAAGACGGGCTCCAACTTCTTCTGCCATGCTGTTGCATTCCTTATGTAGAACATCAAATTGCAGTACTGGCCTCGCGAAGTCGCACGACCAAAAGCGTCGAGCACAGAGGTCTCTAAGCATTCGTCGAAAGCTCCCATGTCAGCACGAGATCCTTGAAACACGCCTGTAGGGTACTTCCCGGATGCATCAAACACTGTGTTCAGAAAGTGAATGCAAATGTGAGACGTTGAACATGACAAGTCCCTGAACAAAAGGCTAATACGGCATTGAAGGTAGGGGTGACAAACGCAACATTTTAGTGAAAGTGCCGATAGACAAGTAGGCTAATGAAAGTATAGGGGGCATTATTTGTGAATACTTGACTGCAGCGGATTGCCCATCTTGAACGAATACTAGCGCACCAAAAACAAGGACGAGAATAGAAAAGACAGACTACAGCACTGTAGTCTTGATCTCATCCTGGATTTTGTCGTGCTAGTATTCTTTCATGATGGAAATACGCCGATTCGCCTGATTGACCATTCTGATCCTCAGTAGAATCTCACCTATATTGAAAGAAAATAAAACGGATGAAAAAAAATTATTGGTTGCACCCAAACCCACAACCTTCGAATTACGATATGTGTGAGCACATATCATATATTATCATATATATTATAGCATATATCATAACATATATTGGGTAGTCTTACCAGCTACGCGGCGATCATGGAACACTTTTTATTTGCCAGAGGGCGGCATGAGGCACGTGTTCCTGGAATAAACTGGTAGCAGACCAATAAGCCATTGCATGCTACTTAAGGCGTAAAGTGTGTGGGGACGAAGCTCTGGCTATGAAAGTACTTAAGTGAGACTGTCCCAGGGATTGGTCGTCTGTTTTATGCACAAATAACAAAATCATTAGCTGCGCTTCATGCCGAGGACGACAGTGAGGCCCCTGTTCTTTTCAAGCATGAACTCTAAACGAGGCGGAAATACTTTGCCGCGCCTAGAGTCCCACTGACACGACAAATTAAAGAAACCTCGTTATTTAACTCAATTGCTGGCGTTCGGGCAGTTGATTGTGATAGAAAGTTGTAACAATTGACAATTCAGGGCATAACCTTTTTTTAGAAAGCACGAGTTTCACGTATTATAAGATGTTAATCGTTTCATTTTGAAGATTTCAAAACTGACTGTTCCCGGCACACAAGAACGAGGTTTCTGTTTTACGTCAGACAGCAACCACGCTTCACATCAGCGTAGATTGTATCAGCATATATTTCCGCCCCAGAGTATTCTGTTTGGTGTTCTCAGAACTGAATGACATAGTGGGGCTTTAGAGCATGCTTTTCGGGGCCGTTTAACGATGTGTCGGATTTGACTTACTGCTCCTACCACGGCAGGAGCAGCTTTTCGAGAGCCATGAGACAATTTTCGAAGAGGGGGCATAGATTCTTCTACGTAGTTCTCTCACAAGCAGAAAAACATGTTTAGACAACGCTTTTCGCACTCAGAAATCAAAGTTTGAAGTGATGTACAAAGAAAGCAGGAAAAAACAGCTTGCTCTTCATGCATCTTCATCGCAGACCTGTAAATTTGGGACATCTAATTATTTAAAAATTATAAGCTGCAAGCTGTAAACAATTGTGAGTGAAATTGTTGATCAATAAACAGCCTAATGAGGTTTTGGAAAGTCCTACGCGCACATTGTAGAGAACATTAATGAAATCCACTCAAGCGCAAAATGACTGATCAAGCACACGTCACTGCTGCATCGCGTTGTTCATTCGGTACCAACTGAACGTGACTACATGACTTCACACAAACGCACCCTTCTTTATGACGTACACACTTAGTGAAAGGACTGATAAAGTTTCGTGATTGAGTATTGCAAGTGTTTCGCAAGAAGAACTAAAGCCCACTAAGGCTTTCGCAAGAGGGCATGTGACACTTTTTACCGCAAGGGTACCGCATGCATATTTCAGAAAGGTAGTTCTGGTCACCACAAACTCCACCTCGTTATATTACTCGAGTGCGAATATGCGCGTTACGAGCAAGCTAGAAGAAAGAGCTGAGATAGATATGCGGCCATTTACGTCGGCAGGACTTTGTCGGGAAAGAGTGGGGAGGGGGTCGAAAGCATGTTGTATCACGGCGGAGGAGGGGTGATAGCTGTTGGGACTTAGGTCGGGGGCAAGTACTGGTGTGGCTAGTAGGGGGAAGAGCAGGGCACTACACAGCACAAAAAAAAACAAAAAGCAAGGCCATTCTACTTTACGAAGGAGGTTGACCGAAGCAGCTGTAAACATTGTTGTAATAAAACTTGCGGCAAATACTTCGTTGCATCACTCATTACTTACGATAGTTTATAAAAAAAAAATTCGTATTCGTTATGATATACAATGGCCGGCATACTCACAAATGCCGGCACATTCTCTGGGAATTATAAATTGACTCATGTTCGCTGCTGGGTGGTTGGTTGGGCTGGTGTGGCGTGACGCTTCAATCGGAACGTTTCGAACAGGAAATGCGTAAATTTCTCCCTGTTCAGTGGAAATATATGCACATTACTATCACCGAGAGTCACCTAGAGTCACCGTAGTAATAGTGTAATCCCAGCTAACCCACTCACATTACTCATATTAAGAAGGCATGAAGGTTTCTGCAACACAATAAGATGCACTTGGTGATATATACATGGTAGATACCAGGATCACAAACGTCATCAATGTGCGTTGCACACACACCACCAGACCTAGTACATCATCTTGCGAGTCCAGAACATACGTTCACATGAGTTTTTGTTTACCCAGTTCTTTATTTTCGCATATAACGCAACGCCACTCCCGCGCGGGTTTACAAGTCTTACACACATGATTCAGGTGTAACTCTGGACTTCATGCTACACGTCCTTCCACACTTCCTAAAGGCACAACACCAACTAATAATCGAGTACACGACTGATTTTTATATCCTTTTGCTAAAAATAACAATTTATCCGAGGGTTCATTCTAGGTCACGGTGGTCGCTTTTAGTGAGATATGGTTGAGGCCTCTGTATTATGCGATGTCAGTGCACGGTAAAGAACACTAGATGGTCGCAATTTCCGGAGCCCTTCACTGTGGGGTCTCTCACAGTCATATCGTAATTTTGGGACAGTAACGCTGAAATGTTATGCGACAGTTTGAGTACAATGTATGCAACACCTCTTCTCATCACTCAATAGCAACTCGCTTGGCCGAAACCAATATTTATAGCTTGTACCAGGCTGCTGGTATAAGGTACATGGAGTCAACCCACAACCTAAATGTTTCTACTGTAGAAATAGTAGGCCCTACGACAATGGCACATCGAAAGTAATCCATTTTTTAGCGAGACGTGCCAGTAGCCAGATATATTGATTGAATAGAGGGTAACTATAGATGTCAGCGATAAATAAATAAATAAATAAATAAATAACATATATGAGTGTCATGTACGTGTAAACACAAACTCTGTCTTCTGCTCATCCTTCCGCATGACCTCCGAATTGAGCCTGCCTGCTAATCACTGAACAAAACGTACTTTTAAATATATAATATTCTACTTTTACAGCAAAGTTTTTTCTACGCAGATCGTATAAATGTTTTAACAGTATGCTATGCAAGCCCCGTGAAGGGAAAAATGAAGACGGACGCAGAGATCTGCAAATCAACGTCGTTATTTCTCACCCTTCTTTCTGGGTTTGTTCTATGTCAGTTTACCGTACTACTGAGCACAATCTGGGGTGCTATGCTGGATCGGCGAAGTTTCGCGAAACTCGGAACCCTCCTGAGCTCTGGCGACGCCCCCTTATAAAAGAGATGGCAGTATAAAAAAGTTAAATCCACCCTTTATCGCGCAGTGTTTAATTGGTTACTATAAAACCAGTCATCGCATCTAGGATGGTCGACTATGTTGGGCAGTGATTTCAAACTTGACGCACCTTGATTCATTTGTTTGTCGTTCCACTGAGTGCAGAATTGCACTTATTCCATAAAAGTGTGAGAAAATTTTGTGATAATATTTTTTTAGAGGCACGGGGTGTTTGCATTTATTTTGGAGCTTTTAATTTCTGCACTAAGTATGTTCTAGAATAATCAACACGGTAGCCTCCGAGATCAGCTCCGGCAGAGCGTCTTACGACATGGTGACCACAGCTTAGCACGAGACATGTGTTCTTCATCACGGTCAGCTTAACATTCTAGCGCCCCTGCTCAGCTGGTGTGCGTCGTCTTTGTAGTCATTGCCAGCTAGCACCCAAGCACGTGTGGACAGCTAATTAGCTATTAGGGGCGAAGCTCCTAAAGCCATGAGTCTGTTTCTCGTAGCTCGTGCTACGTGACAGCCTAGTCCAACGGCTCCCTCAGCAGGTGCGGACGAACGGACAGACGGCCAGATGAACAGACAGACGGATGGACGAACGGACAGATGTATGGGCGGGCGGGCGGACAGACATAGAGACAGAGAGACAAATGGTTCACTGTTTACCAATTGGCTGTATGGTTTACGTGGCTAGTTAGGCCAGGACATTCTATAACCAGGCTAATTACCTCAAGTAATGATAAGGCTGACGTAATTATGCCAAACCTCAAGAATACCATGCTGATTAAGCCATATAAGCTAGGACTGGGCTAACTAAAGCATGATAGTTGATGAGCTAACTATACCAAGCAAATTAGCGTGACAGTAACAATAAGCACGGTAAGTAACTTCATGCCAATTAGCCATCACTATTATGATGATAATTAGAATCTTAGTAAACAGGTTCACGTTCATTAGCTTTATACTACATATGACCTTGCGGACTTCGCGTGAGATAATTGCCCTATGAATAAAACCTTATCAATGAAGACAAGACAGTTCTATGTTGTGGTCGTTAGGCCTCAGTCAATTAGTACAATAAAATGAAGACAGAGTTGGTGTGGTCTTCACTTCGAAGCCGATGACGCACATGAGTATACGACCAACTTAAAAAGCTGCAGGAAGCTAAGTTATCACAAGCTCCTTTATGGCTCCATCCTTGCACAAGTAGTGTAAGCTCACCAAGTCACTTTATATGAAAAGAAGCTGCCGCGCAGCGCTCACCGCATCAAATGCTTGACAGTCACACCGGCACCATCACAGTCACGAGTTGAACTTGAGCCTTCTCAAAATCAACGAGTTTGTATCCGAGTTCACGCGTCAATCAGT